GTAGAAAATTCTCCTGATTTTTTTTCTCTTGTAAAAGAAAAGTATTCACTTTCAGTAATACTCAGGAAAGGCACACATTTTCAAAATACTTTCAAAAAGTTTTCAGGAACCCTGAAAAATTGAACGAAAAATTTTACCGTTGCTACTTCTGTTGAAAACAGGCCTATTTGCGTCCTCCAGTGGTGCTGCTGTAGTCTCTTAAGAGAGATATTCTGGTTTTAAGAATAGGAAAATGATGATTGATGTATCTTGAAGATGGAAGTATTGAAAAAAAAAAGCTTAAACTTCTTTGACTCTTTAGAGTGGATTTTTAAGAGCAGGCTGTTTGTATTTTTTTCCCTGTTAGCTGACAAATGCAAAGTGAAGCACAAAGCTAATGTTACTTCTTGGAACCCGAATACTGCAGCTAAATAACTGTAGGAACTCTCTTCAAATTGTCATGGAGAGAATGGAAAACTCAAAGGACAGAAATGACTGTCAGGTGGAGGACAACAGCTACAAGCTAAGATAAGAAAAGACAGCTATCTGGCTGTCCAGATATCTTCACTCCATTTGGCTTATTTTCTCTGGCTGAAGGGGTCTGGCTGTGTCTGGCATTCATTTGGTGCCGAATAGAGAGAGATCACTGTTTATTGACTTTGTTTGACGACTGAGATAAGAGCTCACTTGTATTTATTAGCCAGGAGCTCTGTGGCTAGGCCAGCAGTCAGGATTGTTCGACATGTCTGGGATTCATAATGATTGTATCAGAGAACTTGTAGAGATAATTACCACTCCGCAATGTCTTCTAGGATTCTCAAACGCTAGAGGGCGCTCTCAAAATGAATGGGTTAAGATGGAGTGTTTGAGCAAAATCATAGTTTATAAATGCTTAAACAGTTTAAATGTAAAAGAATACAATAATTTCCTGAACACAGAACAGCATTAAACATTTTAACACTGCTGTTATATTTTTAAGAGCTTTTAAACTCGAGTTATAGGAGTTTAAAACGGCGCCTCATGTATAGCCATGACGTCAGTGAGCGCAAACAGCCAATGAGCTGCTCCGCTCGCCAACCAATCAGCACTCAGTAGCAGTGATGCCAGCATTCTGCTGCCCAAAACCCGTTTCCTGTAGAAAAAAGGAAACTTACAGGTGAGTTTTCTTTGCTTATTTAGGTAAATACATCCTTCTGCTTTCTAAAATTATTAGACTATTTTAACTTTTCGTTTTTAGCCGTTTAGCTCCATTTACTCCCATTCATTGAGGACTCGCTCGCGGGCGCCCTCTGCTGTTTTGCAGTACTGTTTTTGATATAACGGGGAAATAGGAAGTGGCCAGGCTCCTCATAAACCGGCTTTGGTTGTATGATGCATTTGCACAATGCATGCTGGGTACTGTGAAAAAAAACCCAATGCTGAAGGATGCAGTGCAGAACATTTATTAACACAGCAAATAACATATTAAACTCTAGTTTTAGGTCACAGCGCCCTTTTAAACATAGTAATGAAGTACAATCACTCAAGTGTTTTCCACCCCTGTGGAGAACCTTATGTACGACAGAATCAATGGCAGCCTTTTAGCACAAGGTTTTCTTTTGCTTGCAATCAAAGGGAGCTTTTAGCAAAGGCTGAATGCAGAGACTTCATTAGGTAACCACCCCCCCAGCCCCATGTTATCCCCCCAGCCCCATGTTATTCCCCCAGCCCCATGTTATTCCCCCCAGCCCCATGTTATCCCCCCAGCCCCATGTGTCCAGTTTACTCAGACTAACAGATGAGAAAATGAGATTAATCTGATATATGATTAATGTGTTTTGTTAACCACAACACACTAGGTAACCCCCCCCCACACCACCCCTATGTTATTTGTCAACTTTACTCAAACTATCGGTGAGAATGTGAAAAAGTAGCACTCTGTATTACTACCATAGATATACAGTATGCTACTGAACAGCATTTAGATTCTCAGTGTTGCTAAGGCTATTCAGACTGATTGTGTTGTTTGTCCAGTTTGAAGAATTGCTTGGTCATTCATATGTTTGCCTAGTGGACAAAGAGATGGAAAACACTGCCCCCTGCTGATAAATAGTTCAGTAGGTTTTCGGGGCTTAGCCATAAAGGTAAGCTGAATGTTTCTGAGTTTTGCATGTATGTTTCAGAGTTTACTCAAGGTCTTGGAAACTAGAGGATGGTTGACCAGAGTTAGTGGGCATAATCATACCTTCTTGACTCTGTGTACTCAGAGATAGTGACACTGAAGGTGTTAATAATATGGATTTGTTTGAGGAGCCTGATATCTGTAAAGTAACAGATTTATATCAAATTAACTCACAGTGTTGGGTTTCACTCCTAAACTTTGAGGCAAGAAGCACGAAAACTATAGGAATGGTCTTGTTTTTATTTGATAGCAGCTACTGTCAAAACACCACACATAAAAGTGTAGCGTTATTAGCTTCAGATCTTCAAAGGAAATGGCAGCATGTGAGCAATGAGGGAGCTGTTCCTTCCTGTGTGTGTGTGTGTGTGTGTGTGTGTGAGGGGGGTGGTGGTGGGGGGACTATATCGTGTTGGTGTATTTTGGAGTGAAGAACACTTTCACAAGAGTAACTGCAGTTCATTAAAAGGAGAAAGACAGTGGAAAATTACAGTGGTACAAACATGAGCGTTTTCAGTTTTGCATGTAATGATTAGTATAATATTTAAATATATATATTTTTTGATATAAAAAGTCTTCCAACTAATAATATATAACAGCGCGATATCAAATAGAGGAAATTATAAACAATAAGTATTCCCAATCTAATTGAAAATAAATAAAAATGAAAGTTTAATTTCAAGGTAATTTTTAGAATTAGGTATTTTTTTTATTTAAAATATATTATTTTGTTTTATTTATATAAATTATAGGTCCTGTTTTAGTTGTAATGTTCACAGTACAGTATTCAGACTTGTTGCCAGTGCTATACAAATATTCCATCTATTTGACTGGAAGAACAATGTTCACTATTCTTTTCAATACCAATGATTATTTATATAAAGACTTATGCAGAAATTTGAACAAGACTGGCCAAATTCTATATTTTATTGATTTTTCTGAGAAAATATGTCCTCTATGAGGAACAAACTGAAATATGGCATTTTTCTGTAAATATTAGTTTACAAAGTGCACTATTTATTTGCATTGAGTTTAACATATTTGAAAAAAAATAATTAGAAAATGAGCCTTAACCTTTACACAAGCCACATTTTATGCTTAATTTTTTACCTATATGTCAAATAAATTCAGCAAATAAACGGTAATTGTGCATTAGGATGTGTAGAAGCACATATGGGTCAAATAGGTTTTTCAAAAATTACAATTTTTAAAAATCTTATTTATAAGGACATGATGTGCATTTTATATCTTAAATAGAGTGTTATCAAAGTCTTAAATTGCCCGTTTCAGTCATTAAAACTGTGCTGGTCTGGTTGCACCATTTGACCTATCTGGTTGTGCCACCTGATTTATCAGACTAATTTCAGATTAAACAGATGTCTATTTAGACACCTGTAGAAAATGTGGTCTTTGAACTTGAATTTGCACTCACATTTCCTGCAAGTAAATAATTATAATAATAATTACACATTTTCATGGTGGTCAGACCAGCTGACATGGTAAATTTGACCGTTCTAACCATGACGCAAAAAGGACACCTCTTTATAATGTAATACCCTGACTCCTCTTTCATAAAAGCATATCAAAATAAAAGCTCTTTGTTTTTGGTTGTGCTGCCTGACATTCAAAAAAATAAGAACTTGCAGACAAATGTCCTTCTGAATTGGCCTTATTTTGCAACATGGATTTTATTTTAAAGTCTTCAAACATGAAATCAGGCCAAACTATTTTATTTAGAATTTTATATAACAAAACTAACTTTTTTGATAGTTTAGTTAATCAACATGCATGGTTGGACGATTGTACCACCTGATATTTTTAAACGTATGGAGGCAAAAAGAAGCTAAAATTAATTTTGTTTAAATGCGGTGAAAATTGTTTCACTGCATTTGTACATTTTTGTTTGAAAATTTTGATAAATGTCATGTATTTATTATATTATTTTGGGGAAAATAAAAGATGCATGTCATGTCAATGACCCATATATATAATTATCAGTAACCCGGTGTTCAGGTTTCAGTAAAGTCTACAATAATAACAGTTCTTAAAGTCTTCGTAGTGCTTCTTCTACTGCATATGGCATTTATCTAATCCTTAATCTGTAGGTTATGAAGAACAGTATATCATCTGCAAACAGCTTGCAGCCTTTGTCTTTAGCTCACTCAGCGGTCATATCCTGCAGACAGCAGTGGACGGAACCTTTATCTGTGTGTTAATGAGGCTAGGAAATGACTTCAGCTTGGCGAATGCATCTTGATTGCTAAATCAAAGCTGAGAATGCTATCTGTCTTGAATGGATTCATCATGGATAGGCTTTTATAACGAATCCAGAACTTTCATGGTATCAGTTTCGCTGAGGTTTCTGGGCATGATTAGGCAATGTGGTGTCTGAGTGCGCTAGTTTGTTCAGGGTTTCTGAGTCCATTATGGCTGTTATCAGTTTGAATCACTATGAAACTGGCATTTATACGAAACAATGGGCTTCATGACGAGATTAAGCTAATGGCATGGTTAATCATGGAGGATGTGTGAATAGTCTAATGACATTACAGTATAAAAAGCAGCTTCTTGAAGGAAATTCAGCGGTTACTTGTGAGGTGTAACAAATCAGAGCAGACTAGCTACAGACTAGTCTTGTCCAGCCTTACCTCTCTCATATACGATGGTAAATATCTGTTTGGTACTGTTATCTAGGTAACAAGTCAATAGTAAACGTTTGAAATGTTTACCTAATGTAGGGTTTTTTGTATTGTTCTTGACGGGAGTCTGCTTTGATAACTCTGAGGATACTTTGTAAGCCATGTATTCTGATTTTGGGAGATTTGACTGATTTATCATGTTTCTCTTTATGTTTCTTTGCTAGGCGGAGGCAAGATTGGCGGCTAAACGGGCGGCTCGGGCAGAAGCTCGGGAGATCCGCATGAAGGAGTTGGAGAGGCAGCAGAAAGAGGTGAGACCACCAGTATGGCTTCCACTATCTGTAAGGGAACGTAACACTGTAGTTATAGTAGTAGCTCACTCGAGAATGCATTTCGTGACTAGAGCTTGGGCTGCACAGTGTATCATTTGTCAATTTTAGTCATTTTTATTGTGCTGTGATCATCTTAACCAACTTCAGATGATCCAGATGAGTTTCTGTGGGTGTTTTTGATCAAACAAGGCATTCATCTGATTCAGCACACAAAGATTTGGGCTAAAACAATGCAGGCCAGTTTTTGATTATGTTGACGGTTCACCAGTGTGTTTTTAGCATATTACAAGCAATAGAGAAATCACAAGATGTAGCACAGTAATCCCAATATGGTATTTTGTCTGTGTTTGGACATCATATGTGTAGGGCATACAGACGCCGATCAGGCATAACATTATGACCACCTCCTTGTTTCTACGCTCATTGTCCATTTTGTCAGCTCCACTTACTATATAGGTGCACTTTGTAGTTCTACAGTTACAGACTGTAGTCCATCTGTTTCTCTGCATACTTTGTTAGCCCCCTTTTACTCTGTTCTTCAGTGGTCAGGACCCCCATGGACCCTCACAGAGCAAGTACTATTTGGGTGGTGGATCATTCTCAGCACTGCAGGAACACTGACGTGGTGGTGGTGTGTTAGTGTGTGTTGCGCTGGTATGAGTGGGTCAGACACAGCAGTTTTTAAACACTGTGTCCACTCACTGTCCACTCACTTAGACACTCCTACCTTGTCAGTCCACCTTGTAGATGTAAAGTCAGAGACGATAGCTCATCTGCTGCTGCACAGTTTGTGTTGGTCATCCTCTAGTCCTTCTTCAGTGGTCACAGGACGCTGTACCTGCTCTGTGAGGGTCCGGGGGGGGGTCCTGACCACTGAAGAACAGGGTAAAAGGGGGCTAACAAAGGATCAGAGAAACAGATGGACTACAGTCTGTAACTGTAGAACTACAAAGTGCTCCTATATAGTAAGTGGAGCTGATAAAATGGACAATGAGCGTAGAAACAAGGAGGTGGTCATAATGTTATGCCTGATCAATGTATATAATGTACATCTTACTTACCTGGTAACCGTAGCTAGACATGTTTAGACCTGGCGTGCTCTCACAAAAAGCCTCAGGATTACAGATTACATCTCAGAACTGATCCAGGTACAGCCTTGTAAGGGTTAAAGCTCTTTTAAAGGCTCTAAAGTGGATTAGTGGGTCGAAGCACTGGGGGGAAGTTGGCGTGAACTTTCTAGAGTTAGCATTTCAGATGAGATGGACTGTGAATAGGGCACTCTGAATGCGGGACAGGAGTAACCTTCCAAAGTTTCAGGCTGTTGAAGAAAGCTAAACTAAACTGAACAGTAGGCTATGTGTGCAACGCCTCGTCTAATTTGGAAGGTAAGTTGGAGAATGGCTCTAGATTTAGGATTTAACAGTGTAAACTCTGTTTAGTCTGTGAAGTCTCTGAACTGTCGAGTGGAAAAGAGAGTCGTTTAGATGTGAGCTTGCTAATGCCTAGCGTTTGTCTGGATTTAGCATTCAGCAACTGGCCCACAGTTTTGAAAATGACCTAGTTTAAACTGGGTAAAGTACACGAACAAAGCTTGGGATTTTAATTTGGCCCAAAGTACATAGTTACACGTACACATGAGGCTGGGTTACATAATTCTGCTCTTGTCAGCTCCTGTTTAGAGTTTACCTAAACTTTTCATAGTGTTGACAAGCTTTTGAATGGACAAAAAGACAATATTTTTGCAGTTTTATACAGGAATAGAGGTGAGTTTATAAAAGGAATGAAGGCAAACGTTCTGTAAAGGTTGCAGTACTGTTTTTTTCCCACTGATGAACCCTGCTTTACACTGGCCTGTCCTAATACAATTGCATGTCATCTTCTCTTTCATTCTCCATGACCCTTTCTGCTTCTCCATCCTGGTCTTCCTGCTGCTCTTTTAGATATATCAGGCTCAGAAGGTAAGCTGTGTCCCACAAACTGCAGTTTCTTCTCCTCTCTATCTCTCTGCCTCCTGTACCCATTGCAAATGTTGACCGTCTACTGTAATATGACTGTAATATGTAATATTCACTGGTGCATTTTGAAATATTGTGGGTTCGAAGTGTTAATCTGTTAGGGGTGTAAGTCTCTGCCCTCACAAAGATTCTTAAAGAAACTATTTAGTGCATCATAAAATCTTAAGGTACACCATGATTCTATTTAATAATTTTTTTTAACGATTTATTTACTATTTATTGGAATGATTTAAGAGAGGAACTATTGGACTAATGACTGGGGGGACTGTTTACGCTGTAGGGGAATACAGACTATGACAACACAAAAAGCGTTTTTTATGTTTAATATATAGCCAGAGCACATATATTGTTGAATATGTTGAGTGTAATTAATTCTAACATTCTAAAATAATGGAAAATTGATTACACACCTGGACAATGAAAGAACTACAAAACCGGGGGGAACATACAGCCATATGAACATAGGCTGCCACTCAACTTATGTTGTTGAAAATAAGTTAACACATCCTCTACAGGGAAAAAACTTAAACATGAGATTTTGTCTGTGAGTTTTAGTGCATAATTTTCATTTTGTTTGCGGAGTTTAACATATTAGAAAAGAAAAAATTAAATATAAATTGTGCCATAGGTTTTGCACAGGTCACATTTATGTGATTTTTCACATTTATTTATTTTTCCCCCTGATATGATAAATTCAGCAAATAAACAGGAATTGTGCATTAAAATGTGCAGAGGTTTGTTCTCTGTAGAGGCTGTGTTTACGTATTTTAGCATAGAAAAACAAACAAACAAAACGTGATTTGACCAGGGGTGCCCAAACTTTCGCATACGACCGCACATACAATGCAAAAGTCAGACGCCACACTCTTTTTAGTTTATGTCTGGTTGAAATGGCGATAAAGTGCATGTAAATCATTTTTAATATAATTAAGAAAAGCAGAAAACATGTATTTGTTTTCCTTTATTAAAGCTTCTGTTCTTTTTGGGAGACTTGCTTAACGTTTTTCAAAGAAATTTTTAGGGAAATTTCCACACCTCCAAAGTTCAGTCTTAGAAGTTGGTTGCATATTTTGCTCACAATCTAACTAATCCCAAACACATTCAGTGATGTTGAGGTCTGGCCTCAGGGGTGGCCAGTCCATTGTTCAGAGAACACCAGCACTTCTTTATTTATTTGCTTGTTTACTCTCTTTCAAACGTGAAGGTTGAGGTATTGTCCAAGTATTATTATCTGACGTGACGATGTTGGTGGTCTGCCAGGTCTTGGACGGTTGTTAAGAGTCAGGCAGAGAATTTTTTTAAAATACCTTTTATTCATTTTTTTAAACTTCAGTTTTGGAAACTTAGTGTTGGAGGTTTATATGATTCCTGCTTTTTTTCTGACACTGAAAAATGAATAACTTGTACTTAATGACAGTTTTGACTAGGAGTTAAATTACTGAAGGGGTGATGTCTGACTTTAAAACAGTACTGTAGCATTTTGACATATAATAAAAAAATGATCACTTTCAAAGGAAGTTTTTTGGCTTGTTATACTATGTATGCTTATGTATGTGTGTCCTAAACTTTGCCTCCCCTTTAGTTCGTCACTTTATCTTCCTGTCGTTCACCTTCTTGTCTTCATTCTTCCCCATTTTCTCTTCTTGCCTTCTTCCTTTGTGCCCGCCCCCCCCCCAGAAATATTATGGGCTGGACAGCAAATGGGGCCATATTGAGCAGTGGATGGTATGCCATGTAAAACCACAAAGCTGCATGCAGTGTGTGGCACAACGTCATGATAGAATCAGTGGCAATAGAGAGAGAAATATTAGAAATGTGAAGTGTACAGTAGGTTTCACTAATAGTGGACCACTCTGCATAATTATGATGTATTTAGGCTAGAAATGTGTTATTTTATTATTTTGCTGATGCTTTTTTCCCCCCCTTTGTGTTTAGTGTTGAAGAGACGGCCCCAGATTAGGGCTGCACAATAAATTGCTTGTTAATTGTTATTGCGATATTGGCCTTTGCAAAAAACGTATCTCTAACCAATGTGTGCTGTCAGCATCCCGACCAATCACACTCCCACACGAGTTTCTATGGATGCTTTAATTAGTGGTGCACCAAAATGAAAGCTCTTGGCCGAAAACAAACCCAAAATTCAAGACACACCTGACCCGAAACCGAAACTGAAAGAAAGTGCTTTTAATTTTTAATTTTCAATTTGCCTTTTTAATTTCTGCTTCTGAATAAATGCACTTAAAAAAGCAAAAATAAGGAAAATCCCCTTTTACTGTTGATGAAATCTGCTTTTAATGAGACAAAACTGAGCTGATATTTAAAAAAAAATTACATAAAATAAATTTAGTAAAATTATTACAGTATGTAGGCTACAGTAGGGCTGAACGATGTATGTTTTAAGATCGAAAAACACTTTGAAAATGTACAATTTTCAATTTACAAAAGCTGTGATTTTATTTTTATCCTACATTGTTACAATTTTTAATTGTGGAAAGTTGACCTAATAATTTAACCAATAAGCAGAGCTTATAAAGTGGCAGTGTGATGCACAACATTCAGCATTTAGTCCTTAAGTGTTGCTGTATTCTGCATGTATCAAGCAGAATGTCATGTTTTCAAACCTGTAGTGGAGAAATTATTCATTATTCCTATGAATCGCTTGTCTAACATGCCTAATAGAAACAGTGAAATAGCTCCACACAGCTGACTTTTTACTCCACTGTTGATCTGCTGCTGCTCAAACTGTTTGAATGTGTCTGTGCTGACCAGTGCAAGACAGCAAAGGAAACAGCATATTTAATCACTATCTCATTTTCATAATCATTCAAATGATTAAAGTGTTAGATTTTGACACTTGATTGTCGTCCTATTTAAAGGAGGCCAAATTTTCCGCCCATTTCACCCTTATTTAAATGAAATAAATGCATTATTGATTTACCAAAGTGTTTTTAACGCATTGCAAGGCATATTGCAAATGTAATATTAGTAGAATAATCACAATGTTGGTCTTCTCTCCATATCGTGCAGCCCTACCCAGACTGATCTCCATTCCCCCGGTCTCTGTAAAGCAGTGGGGGGTGGGAGGCCATCTGACGTGGGCTTTAGCAGAGATGCTTATAACATACTGCAGGATTATAGTGCTGTGGCGTGACCCGCAGCTTATAGCCATTATAGCCTGCTAGACTCTCCGGCTCCACTTAAGCCCTCTCTCAGACCTAAACATGCTCTAAACCGTGATGTGACCGGCAGTGATATGATAATGGAATGGCTCAAAGCATGCTTGTTGGCAGTGCTGTGTGGTCTTTGTGTGCTGTGGTGGTTTTCAGTGCTTTCACTCTTTTGCCATCTGACCTGTAACTTCCTGTCCTCTTTCCTCTTTTCCTGCTGCCACTTTTCAGGAGGACAGTGAGCGGTACTCTCGCCACTCGCGGAGACACGCCTCGGTCTGTATTTCTGCCCTAAGTCCTATTGTCCTTTGCTTCGTCCACCCATTCCAAACACCCCCCCTCACTACTGATGTTCTGACTGTTTTGTTTGGCCACTAACCTTTAGAGTGTAGCCACATATCTGTCCAAATAGGCCAGTGCTGGTAATAGAGAGCTTTTATTTGGGAAACTGTGTGGAAAGTAACTACGGAGCCCCGGAGGGGACGGAGATAAAAAAAAAATAATTCGAGCGAACGTTTTGTAGTTCGTACGCACGTTTTCTTAAATCGTTCCCTCGTTTTCTTTTAATCGTGCGCACGTTTTCTTTACTTTGTGGGTTCTTTTTTTTAAATTCATGATCACGATTTTCTAATTCGTTCCCTCGTTTTCTTTTAACCGTGGTCATGTTTTATTTTTAACTGAACGCTCGTTGTTTGTGTTTTGATAACAGCTCCCTGAGACCGTCTGACGGGTTTTGATGAGTTAGAGTGATGAGATCATGGACAGAGATGCTCATCAGGTCTGATTCTGATTTGGGGGTTATGAGGAAGCTGCAGCTCCTCTTCACAGCGAACAGCCCACGGTGTTCAAGCTGCGGTGTTAGGGACCATCACACAATTACAGGACGAAATGATCAGCGTTTCAACATCCTCACATTAATATATCAACATCTAATCCATAGATCTATTAAACTTTCTCGCCATTTGACCTCATCCTACATGAATGTTTCTGTGTGTGTTTAATTTGAGTTTGTTGAAACGTTGACGCTGATCATTTCTTCCTGTAATTGTGTGATGATCTCTAACACCGCAGCTTGTCGCGGGAGCAGAAACAGCACTAAGTGTCTCTATCTCTGTTAAATATGATTAGACAGTGCAGTTTAGTGAAGATTGTGGTTGTAGTGTATTGTCTTTCTTCATTTCTCCACCAAACTGCAGCTGATGAATCTGAGGGCCGTTTGCTGTGAAGAGAAGCTGCAGTTTCCTCATAACCCCCAAATCAGAATCAGACCTGATGAGCATCTCTGTTCATTATCTCATTAATCTAACTCATCAAAACCCGACAGACGGTCTCACAAAGTAAAGAAAATGTGCGCACGTTTAAAAGAAAATGAGAGAACGATTTAAGAAATCATGACCACGAATAAAGGAAAATGTGCGTACGAACTGCAAAACGTTCGCTCGAATTAATTTTTTTTTTTTTTTTTACCTCCGTCCCCTCCGGGGCTCCGTAAGTAACTGCAGTAAACAGTTAAACCGAGTTGGGGGAGGGATTTTTTTTTCTTTACCTTTGCCCCCGTAACTGAAGCGTATGGGGGAGCACAGTGATAACAAGCTTAGTCAAATATAAGATTATAATAAAGCGCAGTTCAGTAAAACCTGTATTTGTAGTATACGGTCGTTTTTTTGTCACAAAACTGTAAATAATCTAGTGAGAACGGAACTGCAAATGTCTCACAGACTTTACCGTCGGAGAGTTTCTGGTCACTTTGCTCAGCCATTTGCCTCAGTTCACCTGATGCACGAGAGCTGAGACATGATTTTTTGTCCGGTCTTGCAATGTTTTCCCAACACATGACATTTTTCCGTCTGAAATCTGAGCACGTGAGCTGAGGATTTCCTAAAATACTTGCAAATTGATCCAAAGTTATATTTATATATTGAAATACTAGTGTCTTGCTGTGTTTTGGACAAAGTAAATCAATAAATGAACAGTATTTTTTTTAAAAAGCAGTAAATGGATTTCTACCATGACTGGGACTGTTGAGTAACTCAGTTTACATTCACTGGGCACAAACCTACATCAAAGATTTTTTTTTCGAAAACGCTTCAAAAAGTTTGCAGATGTAGGCAACTGAAACAGAAATTGATGATAATATTTTACAAATGTCCACAGAACTACTTTTTGTTCAACTTTAGCGAAAAGAATTGTTCATCATTACTTCAAATGTTGCAAAAAAATCTCACTGGAATTTTTTTCTTTTGAGAAAAAGAGCCCAATTACGCATAAATGTAGTGTCATGTGACAGATTTCCCTCATAAGGCTCTTAGAACAAACACAAACAAACTCAAACAGCATGGTAGAGAGATGTAGCTGCACTGAGAAGGAGACGAGAGCACTTTTAAAAAGAATGCTGGAACGTTTCGGCTCTTGCAGAGAGATAAATCAAGAGAAAAAGAGAAATGGAAACATGTCAAACCTAAACTCTTGGCAGGAAATGTCAACACGTAAAGCATTTTTATTGTTAAAGTCTGCTAAACAGTAAAAATAATTAAAAAAAGATTGTTTTATCGCTTGCAGTTTATGCAAATATGGATTATGTTTATGAAGCTTTCATTGTTATATCAAAGTTACATAGAAATAAAGAGAAGATACTCTATACAAACCTGTAAATAAGGAACATAAACTAATACGTTCAGTCAGAAGTGGTCATTTTCCTGCATGTCTCAAACGAAGCACAGAAATCTTCAGTTTGAAATTCCCAGAAGTTTAAGTATGTAAGAAACAGATTGTATCTTCTTTAGATTAAAGAGTACGTTTCTCAGGAGGAATGTAGTCGATACTACAAATTCTTTTCTTTTCTCCCTTTACGACCTGCGCTCTCTTTCCCAATCTGCCTTCATTTTGGTGGTCTTTTTGGCCTTTCATCGTGTCCTTTGTAGGGTCCCTTTTAGCCCACTCTATCAGAACTCCATAGACATCCATAGAGGTGCATATTCGGTCCTGCTTTTAGACAGTTTAACACACAGCGCACTAAAGAACCATCATTGCTTTGTGTGTTTGTCTCCCTCTCTTAGATTTCAGATGATGAGGAGCGGATGTCTGTTGGGAGTCGGGGCAGTTTGAGGGTCAGTATGTCTGCAGTTCATCAGTATAAACATCTCCTATCTTCACAATATGATTATAGCCAGTTTCAGGGCTAACTGATAAAGCCATCGTATGGATTTGTAGACTTTGAGGCAGCGTCTAAGACCTCAGGTCATGTGAGGGACTGTGAAAACGTAAGCTTAGCATGTAGCCTGTTGACGTTAGTCCGCAGAAACCACTTCGGCTGAGACAGGAGAAAATGTATTTATTTTTCTGCTTAAGAAAACACTGCTAGATTCTGTCTTTCAGCATGTAGGTATAAGAGCCATAGTGTTTACTTCAGCACCCGTATGCCTGTGAATGAATGACTCTGAAGTAGTTACGGAATAATGAGTCTTAGGACTAATAACTGAACAACACGCCTAGTGTTCAGGGGGTTAAAATGCTTCCGACCGGTCGTCATAACATCAGCATCATGACCAGAGTGCAAAAAGAGCTGGTATATAGGAATAAACTGAGGCTGTGAATGTTTTGAAAGATTTCAGTTCAATATATATTCTTAAGGCTTGTTTTACGCTTCAGTTCTGAACAGAATTCTTCGTATGGTGGTGTAAGTATTTTTTTAGGAAAGAATACTTCAGTCTAATCAAAAACAATCTTCAGTTTTTATTGGCTGGCTTCTCATTTGTTAGTAAACAAAAACAAACTTTTTTAAGACTGGCCTCCATTGGAAGGTCAGTCCAGTCAATGTCAGTGTGTTAAAGTGAGGGAGCTGGCTTTGGTGACAGTGGCTCTCACTGTAGCCTGTAGAATGGGGTAATCGAGAAAAGGCTGTCGCTCCACCCTTTAGAACAACTACACTACCATTCATGAAAGTGTGGAGTCACTTGCCATGTTAACAACCTTTATTGTTTTATGTACAGTAATATCTTATATACAATAACATATGCAGTGTAGCCATGTGCTAGTATATCATATTATTATGTTATTCGGAGTATTAAATTTATTATAACTTATTTCTGGATGCTGTACAGCAGTGGTTTCCAGCCTGTGGGTCACGGGCCCCTAGTGGGCCATGGTTGTTCTATTAGGGTTTTTTTATATAAATGCAGAAGTTTATAACAATGTATTGATGTTTAACCAAACCAATAATTCTGAATATGACAGATATTGTTGTGATTATTATTTGCAAAACTATAATGCCTAAATATTTAGGTTGCACTCAGTTATTGTTATGTGTAACATGTTTTTGGTCATATGGATTTCATCTATTGTATTATTGATAAATGTCTACAAACAGAACAGTGTAGGATTTACTGTTTAAAATGTGTTAGGCTACATTAATTATTGTGTTATATTTGCTTAGCTTTTGTTTTTGTGGTCGTTTGTGTGGACCGCAAGTTGCAAAAGGTTGGGAACCCCTGCTATACAGCCAGAATGGGCAGAATATATTTAAATATTTAAATGTGTGTTCAGTAATGTGTAGCACTATGCATAAAAAAAGATTTTCAAAATACATTAATAATACATTTTGAATATATATTAAAAAGGCAAGGAAAGACATTTTTTACTTAATTCACATTGTTCCTCACTGTTAATAGAGGGCAGTTTTTAATGTAATCCTTTTGTTAATATGTTTTATGAAACATTCACTTGTCATTTAAAAGAAAAAAAATTCTCAACATTTTTTTTTCTCTCTCATCACCTACCTCAGTCCACTGCCGCTCCTGTAATCCCCTGAACTGGAATCCAGCAAAACTCCAATACTAAGCTTAAAACTCATACATTACTGAGTGGATTATTAGTTTGATCATTCTTCAAAAGAGCTCAGTAACCGTATTCTGAATACTACCTTTTACAAAATGTAACAATGTATATAGATACTTAATTTCTGTATTCTGAATACATATTCCCAATACTTCCATATGCCGTTACATCACGACCCTGTATTCCACTTTCTCAGTCATTTTAGAATCATAGCCCAGTTTCCCCAAAGCATCTTAGTGTTCAGATCATCTTGCCTGGTAGAGAGAGTGTTCAGGGTGATGCTCGCTCTGCTGTTTATGATTCATCTTTGTGCTAAGATATTTTTGAGAAATGTGACCTTGTCCAACATTTTTAAACAGAACCTGCAAAGCTGCACAGGTCTAGCATATTAGAATCATTTTATACACTTGTCTGCAGCCAAATTGGCTTTAAATTGCTAAAAACAGTGACTCCAGAAATATGAACAGTAGTGTACGTTAGACAAACACTCACTGAGCACTGTTAGAAACATCATTCTAACACTGGTAGGGCCTCCCTTTGCTCTCAAAACAGCCTTAATTCTTCGTGGCATGGATTCCACAAGATATTGGAAACATTCCTTTGAGGTTCTGGTCCGTGTTCACATGAGTACATCATGCAGTTCCTGCACATTTTTCAGGCACTTTCATGCTGCAAATTCAGATCACGCGACTTGTAAGGCCACTGAAAAACACTGAACTCACCGAGTTTGACATGACTTTTGCCTTGTGGCATGGGACATTACCATGCTGGAAGTAGCCATTAAAAGATGGCTAATTGTGGCCATGAAGGGATGCGCATGATCAGCAACACTCAAATAGGCTGTGGCATTCAAGTGATGACTGACTGGTATAAACAGACTTAAGTGTGCAAAGAAAATACTCCCCACATTGTTACACCACCTCCACCAGCCTGGACTGTTGACATAAGGCAGGTTGGGTCCAAGGTTAGTACCAAATTCTGACTGTACCATCTGTGGGCCTCAGCAGAAATCCAGATTTATCAGACCAGGCCACATTTTTGCAGTCTTCAGCTGTCCAGTTTTGGGGAACCTTTGCCTACTGCAGCTTTAACTCTCTGTTGTTGGCTGACAGAAGTGGAACCTGCTGTCATCTTCTGCTGTTGTAGCCCATCCACCTCAAGGTTTGACGTGTTGTGCATTCTGAGGTGCTCTTCAGCTCAACAGAGTGGTTATCTGTGTTACTACAGCCTTTCTGTCAGCTAAAAACAGTCTGGTCATTCTTTATTGACCCCTTTTATCAACAAGGCATTTCCGTTTGCTGAGCTACCACTCACTGGACCTTTTTTCTTTGTTGAACCATTCTGAGTAAACTCTAGAAATTGTTTTGAGGGAAAATCCCAGGACATCAACAGTTATAGAAATACTCAAACCAGCCCATCTGGCACCAACAACCATGCCACGGTCAAAATCACTGAGATAGCACTTTTCCCCATTCTGATGTTTGAACACTGCCAAAGCTGCTGGCCCGTATCTGCATAATTTCATGCACTGCACTGCCGGCACGTGATAGGCTGATTAGATTATTTCATGAATGAGTAGGTGTACAGGTGTTCCTAATAAAGTGCTCAGTGAGTGTATGTTATGCTTCTGTTCTTGACTGTGTAGATTTATGCTTGTTCCCAAACATTTTCAGGACAGACATCCTAAAAAACCAGAGGAAAAACTATTTTTCAACAAAAGATATATTTTCTGTTTTTACTGAAAGCATAAAAACATTTGTTTTGCTGAGGGTTAGGATTATGGTTGTACATAGAAATTGCTTATTATATATAGTAATTACATCTAATACATGGGACGCGTGTGACCTCATAACTTGTATTAATTTTATTATTATGTAAAATCAAACGTTTGCGTGTAGACGAGTGTGTGTGCGTATATTTCACTGAATTTTTTGCAAAGCTGCTACTGCCTCCATCACAGTAACTCACACTCATGTTCGACCTCTCCTATAGCATCATTATACACAGTTGTATCTTGCCCACTTTTTCCACCTGTTTCTCTTTTCCGCGCCGTCTTATCTTGTCCCCTGTTGCTCGCCGTAGGGAAACTACTCGGACCTGTGTAGCAGCACCGGCAGCCTGCCTTCATCCAGACTTCAAAATGGCCGGGTCTGTCTCTCTCGTTGTATTTAATATCTCTTTACCACACACGCTTTATCTGTCTCTCTCTCTCTCTCTCTGTCCCTTCCGCTTTGTCCCTTCCTTCCTTTCTGCCCTCAGCGATCATCCTAATTATATTGCTCTCTCTTTCGTTTGATTACTTACATCTTGCTTGAGTCATCTCACAACGCTTGGTTCAGGAAGACAAACTGCAGGCTTGTGTGTTTAATGTTATATTTTCAACTGTTTCACTATCAAATCTTCCATAATATTCATTGAATTCATAGGATTTGAGGAGAAATGTGATTTCAGCCAAAGCACTCGTATTTCAGCACATTTGTTTATGTGTAAACACTCACTAAGCACCTTATTAGGAACACGGCCAGGATCCCACAGGACCACTACAGAGCAGGTACTATTTGGGTGGTGGATCATTCTCAGCACTGCAGGAACACTGACGTGGTGGTGGTGTGTTAGTGTGTGTTGCGCTGGTATGAGTGGATCAGGCACAGCAGTGCTGCTGGAGATTTTAAACACTGTGCCCACTCACTGTCCACTCTATTAGACACTCCTACGCTGTTAATCCGCTTTGTAGGTATAATTCAGAGGCAGTAGCTCATGTGTTGCTGCACAGTTTGTGTTGGTCATCCTCTAGTCCTTCATCAGTGGTCCCAGGACGCTGTTGGCTGGATATTTTTGGTTAGTGGACTATTCTCAGTCCAGCAGTGACACTGAAGTGTTTGAAAACTCCAGCAGCACTGCTGTGTCTGATCCACTCAGACCAGCGCAACACACACTAACACACCACCACCACGTCAGTGTTACTGCAGTGCTGAGAATGATCCACCACCCAAATAGTACCTGCTCTGTGAGGGTCCATGGGGGTCCTGACCACTGAAGAACAGGGTAAAAGGGGGCTAACAAAGTATCAGAGAAACAGATGGACTACAGTCTGTAACTGTAGAACTACAAAGTGCACCTATATAGTAAGTGGAGCTGATAAAATGGACAATGAGCGTAGAAACAAAGATGTGTTCCTAATAAAGTGCTGGGTGAGTGTATATACCAGTTACCAGCTTATTAGGTACATCTACATTGTAGCTGCACTCGTTGGCCATTTAATCAGATACTTACCACATACATGTGCTTTACAGATACACAGTTAGCGATTGAAGCACATCTTTTACTGCACACTTTTTTCAGCCCCCCTCCACCCCATTCATCAATAGAAAGGTACCAGCATATACCACCACTGACCATGTGATGATGTTTTTTGGGTGGTGACACACACCAACATTGTAGTAGCATGTTAGTGTGCTTTGCACTGGTATGAATATATCAGGTGTACAGAATGTAGCTCATGTTTTCCAGTCCTGAACAATTTGTGCGCGATTGTGATTAATTGCATTATTTGGTGTAGTTTATCACGATTATTCACGTGTCTTCATTGCTGTAATTTGACAGTGAAGAAAGATGTTCTCAGTGCTATATGAGAGGGTAAAATAAGCTTCAGCAGAATGTATTTATTACCTTCAATCATGTGAGCGCAATCATAGGAAACTGCATTTACCTTATTTTCATCACAAACGTGCAGTGAGAGCAACAGTGGCTGCATGTTCCAATTCCTTTGTGACTGTAGCCTCTCGCTCTTACCCTGCGTTCACACCAGCAGTGACGCGATGCGACAAAGCACCCCAAGGTCATTCATTTTCAATGAGAGTTGGCGATTTCAGGAGGCGGCGTGAACGTTGGCGACGTGAAGTGCGCGGAGTCAGTAACGCGACAAAGTTCAGCGGAGTTTAACTTAGTGCAAATAAGGAGCGAAGCGACATGGCAATTACCAATAGGAACTGAGCATTCAGCAGCGTAGTACGCACTCTATCTCCACCTGTGTGGAGTTTTTGGTTCCTAGATAATTTGTTTCTGCTACAGGTGGAATAATGGCGGTGGTATATATATAGACAGTAATCACAAAGACCAAATAGCGTTTTCCTCACAAACTGACTGCACAGATACGGGGATTAAATAAAAATAAGCACACAAGCGATTTCTCACCAGGATTTTTATTTCTAGCGGGAATGCATCAGATTTGTGCTTGGCGTCAGTGAAACCATGGCAACCAACGGTCCGCTCAAGTTCAGAAATGCCCATAGGTGATGAGCGATCGGCGACTTGGACGATGAAAGTCGCTGCCGGTGTGAACGTAGGGTTACACAGCGATTTTTGTGTCTCGTTTCAAAGTAAACTGCATTTGTTAGCTGCTTGTTCATTTATCCACTGTTATGAAAACGCCCTACATTGCTAACATCACTCTTTTGACTCTTTTTCATTATCACTGTGCTTTGCTTGTAAATGATACTTCAGACTTGATATATTTGGTTATAAACTAATTCAAGGCATTGCAGTAGCTGGAAATGGCTTTTATCAAGGCAGCCACTTGATATATAAAAAGTGCCATTCAAAAGCCGAATGAGACGGCTAAAGTTGCAGAGTCATAGTAACAATGTGTGAGCAGCTGGGCTTCAGCCTGGAACTGAGGATGAGTAGAAGGGTCAAAGTAGGAAAATGCATTAAAGGTGTTAAAAAAAATTAATAAATGAATATTTTAACTTCTACATAACACTGAAATAACCATGTCATAAACGTGTCTTGGTACATTCGTCCTTTAATATAACAGTGTCATGTTACCATTACCGGTCACTATGTTATGACTTCATATTAGCATGTGACATAAACTGTCATGACTTCAAACACTAGCATCTATCATGATAATCATTGGTAATGGGGACATAACACTGTTATATTAACTCATGACAGCATATAACATCTGCTATGACATGTTTATGGCACAGTAATGTCAATGTTATTTTTGTAGCACTCAAGGAAAGTGTTACCAAGTTACCATGTGATACAACCAGTAAAAACCTTATCACTGCCTTCGGTGCTGAAATTGGTCCACCCACTTGTGAGCGGTGGTCTTAGGGTGGTCCATTTCTACTGATGGACAGAGTAAAGGGTGGCTGACAAACTGTGCTGCAAAGGATGAGCTACTGCTTGATAAATGAACCTGATAAAATGACCAGTGAATGTTGAAAGGGTGAAGGGTGCCTAATGAACTGGAAACTCAGTGTGTACATATGTTCCCCTTCCTCTCTCTCTCTGTCCATAGCCCTCTGCTCTCTTTAGCGATGCACCCCGCTCGAGAAGTCACAGGGTTCGTTTCTAACGCTCCTAACAGTGTCCCATGACCTGGGCAGCATTATCTGCATGCATCTTGTTTGAAAGCTTTTTCCTTTGTTTTTTTTTGGTGTGTCCGTATTTGCATGCGTCCAGCGTGTGACCCATCAGATACTCCACTGCAAAGTCTGGCACCCAGGAGACTGGTCAGCGTTTGTCCATTAACCGGATGCAGCGTTTGAGCCGTGGCTGCTCACGTCACCTGAACTGTTCCCTTATTTCATCATTGTCATTTCACCAATAAGAAAAATGAAGAAATAGAAGAAAAGACTGGCTTTCTGTATTGCATGTACAGATATATAAGCAATGCAGAGTAGTTTAACTCCCTTGTCTTTGCCTGTTGGAGTGATATAGTTCATTTAAGGGGTTAGTTTTCCAAAAGCACAACAAAGAAAGATGACTGAAAGTCAAAGCTCTCTTATAGTAGACATGATTTTATCTCAACACTTTTGGGAAACTGAGCCTGGAATATCATTACAGTGGGATTTTATCGATTTTTCAGAAATTCTATATAATTAAATGGTTAAGATGTACACAGAGTCTGAGTGGTGTAGTGTGAAGTGCAGTGTTCTGGGGAAACTTACCAAGTCACAGTTGCTCTCAGTGGTGGTGATAAAAACCAGACATCCAAAGTGTTTAATGCCCCTAAAAGGGACATCACAGAAAGCTACTATATGAAAGTCACTGATGCCTGTGACTTTGTTTTACGGTAGATTTTGGCTGGAAATCTGTATTTTTACATCCATTCATGGTGGAGAGGTACATGCAGGTTTTAGCTTTACCTCTGTTTTATCATTGTCAACATTGGATATGAAAACTCAGAAGATGTGAGTCGGTTCAGTGGTCATTTTGTTAGCAAAAATGTGGCTATATTTGCCCAGATCTGTAAATAAAGCAGCTTTGTAGAAAACCCCTGGTTTCCATCACCACCTTTGAAGTATATCCACAATGCACCATTTAAGCCATAGAACACTCAAGTGTGTTATCGCGAAACAACATCATGGCTGTGATTTGGTCGCCGTAGATCATATTGGCGATAACACACTCCCCCAGCGTTCTATTGCTTTTATACAACAGTTAAATAAATACAGTAATAAATTAATAAACTGGGCCGTGAACGCGGCGTTTAATATGTTTTAATGTTCGCAGTTCCTTCACCAAATTATAGTTCCTTAACAAGCAGCTTGTTGCTACGTCAGAGTAACGAGCTCCGCCCACTCGCTGAACAGCCAGCAGTTCGTTCTCCAGCTCCACACAGACCGACTGACAGTTTGGGAATTTAGTGTCGTCTCATCTTCAGAGTCTGACCAAATCGGCTGTCGGTCAAATGTTAAAGGTATCCATTTTCAGTTTGTGGCAAAGTAAGAAGTAAGAACGTTCAAATGGCTTGAGCATCTCATACAGCTGTCAAAGTCGTTGCTTAGCAACAGCATCTCAGCGGAGTGATACAGTGTTTGTGAAAAACCTGTAATGTTATGGTGAAATAACAGCACAGTTAGAGACGCTTCTCAACCAATCAGCTTGCGTGGCCGGAACTAACTGTTGTATAATTCACATTAAACCACTCTGAATGATTTTGTTTACATCTCAACCATTGAATTATGAAGAAATTTTGAAAATTCGGTGGAATTCCTGTTGTGGTCAGTGGGTCTTGAGAGTCATTATTGGTGGTGCAGTTGGTTCAGCTGTGTGCTGTGAGTGTCGGTGGCTGACAGATAGCGACAGTGTGTGTGTGTGTGTGTGTGTGTGTGTGTGTGTGTATGTATGGGGGACCTCTGAGGTGAAGCAGTAGGTGCACAGCGAATGGTTGTGTTCTATCCGCAGGGCTCGTTGTATGAGGAGAATGCGTCCGGTGCTAGGCGGTTCAGTGGCTCCAGCACCCGTGGCGTAAGGCCCTTATAATTCCTCTTCTCAGGAGCATGGCCTGACTCTGACTAGCACTAGCACCCCCTCGTGGTCTCTTTCTGCATGGACCTGCTGTCAGACCACTTCGAGTTCCTGTTGACCAGCTTGACTTGCTGTTTATGTTGTCTGTCTTCATGTTTTGAAGGAAACCTATGCAAAAAAAAAAATGAATTCAGAGTTTTCCCCTCGTCCTTTCAGCCTGAAGTTCACTTCTTTAAGTTAGCACTGGAGATACAAGGCTAGTGGAGCCAAGCTTTTACCTCAGCAGTTAGCGTTGTGCTAATTGCCTGTCTAAATCAACACACACTTGGCTCAAACTGTGTTGAGTTCTCACTAATATCAAATAGACATGCTTAAGTGGTTTTCTGACACTGTTTGACACCGTTATCGATAAAATGGACAAACAGACATAAAACTTAGCTTAAGGATAGCTGCTAATACCTTTTAGCTTTTTAGCTATGCAACATGCTTTTGTCCATTTTTAGAGATTAAACTGTGTCATACAGAAAGCACATGAGCTAGTTTGTTGGAGATGACTTAGGTTTCCAGTTCTTGTTAGCTACATTAGCCTTGTATCTTGAGTAGAAACTAAAGAAACACATTTAAACACTAAACAGAGTAAGTGGAAAATTGTGTAGCTTGGATTTTTCAGTGAATTACTCCTCTTAGAGAAGAGTTTGGCGAAAAATCTAATTTGCCCAATTTTCCCTTTACCAAAACAGTAATCGATCTGAATAGATCTCAGTAGAACTGGAACTATAAGGCTAACATTGCTAACAAAACATGGAGCTCAGTGGTCACCCAAATAGCCCAAATCTTTTCTGTAAAAATCTTAGCCCTGCTGGTGACATCCCATATACGTGGCCACAGCTTAATAAGGCATGATCTTGTTCCCAAGCTTTACTAAGTTGTGGCCACGACTTAATTATCTCATCCCCACTCCTTCCTAATTTGTGGCCACGCATTAGGATCTCATTCCCACACGTTAATACAGCGTGACCAGGCATTATTTTTATTTATACCGGATGTCACCAGCAGGGCATCGTATCTAGCTGTTCAAACCACATTCATTCTCAGTCTTTAATAATGGTGCACAGATTTGCTGATGTGTTTTTGGACAAAGTATAACTTACTGTGAGCTATAAGAATAAACCAAACAGCACTGTTTCAGACAGCACCTGAGCCGGTATTCACAAGGCAGGACTGATCTTTGATCAGATTCTATACCTTTTACAGTCATTGCCACAAATACTGGTTCTAGATCAGCACTCCTACTCCTGAGGTGGTTTGTGAATACAGACTCTAAAGTCTAAAAGTGGCTGCTGGCAGTTTTCTTTACTTACATTAACAAGTCTGTGTGACTTGGATGTGGTTTGAGCAGTTTGGTGATGTATTATTACCGAGACAATGTTGGTTATTTGGGTGACTATTGAGTTAGCAGTGTTAGCTTAGCCGCTCCAGTTCTAAAGTAAAGAAGGAACATTTGGACTCTAAACACATCTTGGCTGGTCAGTGACATCTGGGGTAAGTGGAATATTGTCTAAATTAGATTTTAAACCATTTTTTTTACGTCCACTCTGTTTGCCTGAAAAGTTTGAGGCAGAAACATTTTTGATAGTGAGCCTGTTTTACCCTCTCCCTCCTTTATAAGGAGTCTGAGTGGCGATGATCACTGTGGAAAAGTGCAGATGGTGTACAGAATGTTTAGGCATGTGTCTAATTGTGAGTCATTTTCGATGGATGTATTTTCTTTTTGTAAACTGTGGTGTTTTGGTCATATTGGTGGTGGTCCAGCAGTTATGGTCTGCGTTAGGTTCTGCCCTTGGCATGAAATGTATGTATATTTTGTGTGTTTCGTTATGGTATATATGGTATATTTCCAACATTTTATGTAAATCTTCCTTTCTCTGTAAATCTCAGTTCTAACATTTCTCACTTCCTTTCTGGTAACATCTACTTTCTGTTTCTGTCTGTTTTCTCTTCTCTGCTTGCATGTTCTGTCCAGCCCTCGGACTACAGTGGTTTTCTGGGGTCCAGTTCCAGGGCCTCGTCTAGGGCCAGCTCAGCCCGTGCCAGCCCAGTGGTGAGCGCCCCTTTATGGTCACTCTGCAGCTGAGGCTTCAGGCCCAAAGCACTGTCCCTTCTTAAACAGATAATTTGGCAAAAAAAACAAAAACAAAAAAATTCTCCTTGCCCTAAATGATCAGTCAAGATGTGTTTGATGTCTGTAGTTTGCTTCTATTGTTTTACACTGGAGCTGTGAGGATAACGTAGCTAACAAGTCACAGAAGCTTATAGCCACCAATTAGCAGAATGGAAATGGCTTGCCTAAATAAAAGAAGAAAACAAATATTTTACGGAAAACAACACAAATGTCTCAACAACTAAATATAATAACACAGTATTCAGTATTTAGTGTGTCCACTCTGCCTTTATTACAGCTTCCTTTCTTTTCAGGAGACTTTGCAGGGATATTTTTTACAAACCTACAAAGTTCAGACATTTTCTGATTCTCAAAATTCAGGTTATCCCAAACGTATTCAATGATGTTGAGGTCTGAACTCTACAGTCTCTGTCCACTGTTCTGAGAACACCAGCAGCTTCTTTGTTTGATTTTCTTATTTTGTTAAATTACATGAATCTTAAAGCTCTAGTGCAAAATTAAAGGGGTCAACTTCAGACACCAAACATGAGGAGAAATTGTGTGAATTTGAAATATTGCTTTATCGTCCAGTGTGCGGTAGCCTTTAGGCTTTCTCTCATTGGATAATACAAGACATACCATGCCAGTACTTTGGTTAGTGACTCAGCTTCTGCAGTCACAGACCTGAACGCTGACTTCTGTATGTGGCCTGGCCTAAAAACAAGCAGAGCAGCCACAGCAACCTTGCACCCTCTAGTGGTCAGATCCCATTCCACTGGAGTCCTGTGGTTATATATGAAGCTGAAACTGGGCCCTGAGCTTGACACCTCCATGAGGTTATCAAATGCATGAGTAATTAAAGTGTGTGGGCATTTTCTGTTGCGGACCAACAGCAAAACAGCATAGAAACCCATAGTCTTACACTCTGATTTTCCCTTTAGGTGGAAGAGCGGTCAGACTTCCTGGAAAAGGTCAGTTGTTGTTATGAGCTGTTTTCAGTGTGTATAGTTCATCCAAACCTGGAAATACTGTGCAATCATGCAGTAACCTATTCTATTCTATTCTATTCTATTCTATTCTATTCTGTATGTAAATACATAGATACATTTTGAAACAGATTTGTTGAAATAAGTCTCTACACTGACTGACTATGTGTCTTTGGGATCTTTGTTTAGGGGTCCAGAACAGCTTCCACTCTCTCTGCTGCCACTCTGGCCTCACTGGGTGGGGGCTTATCTCGGAGAGGCAGCTGTGATACCTCAATCTCAGCTGACACGGAAGCCTCCATACGTGAGATAAAGGTAAGTGCAATCAAAAATAAAATATTCGTTGCTGTCATATCTCCAAAATGGTGAGAAGGAAAATAAACTTAGTTTATTTTGAAATATTAAAAAAAAAAAAATATGTTGAAAAACTTGAAGAACCAAAGCCTGATGTTTTAGGTTCAGAAGTTAAGGTCAGGCTAACTTTACACAGTGGAACTTTTATGCAACTTTTGTTGCTCGAAACCTACATGAAACTAAATTGTACTTCAGTAGCATAATGTAAAGCGTACTGCAACTCATTTGAAACTCAGTTGCAACAGTTGCAAGTGTCTCATGAAGCCATTTTAATGGAACAGCCACTCAAAATGGCGATAACGGATTATGTGATCACGTCAAACGACATACTTTCAGATGACTGATTTCATCAGAACAAATCGGCGAATTAGTAAACCAGAACATGCTTTATTGTGAAGTTAGAAAGGGAGTCACTTCTCTTTCCAAAGAAAAATACCTTTTGATAGGGATGTTGTAAAATTGGATACCTAGTCTCTTGTTTGTCCACCAAAAATGACTAAAAATGTTAGTGTTCGCATGTATTCATAAGGATAAATGAAGAAAATTATCTTCATATGGTAATCTTGCAGGATTCTCTGGCAGAGGTAGAGGAGAAGTATCGCAAGGCCATGGTGTCCAACGCTCAGCTGGACAATGAGAAGTCCAACCTGATGTACCAGGTAGACACGCTGCGAGACACTCTGATGGAGCTGGAGGAGCTGCTGTATGAGACACGCAGAGAGTGTGAGGAGAGAACCAAGGTGAGTGAGAAAAGTCTGACAGCAAGTACAAACCTGTGCTTGTTAAACTGATGCCAGGAGCCCGTCTTGTTTTGAGTGCATGATATTGTATCATTATTATATTATATTATTATAAATGGCTTCAAAACGCTAAACGAGTATTCCCTTAATACATTTAACACATATATGGATTTTCTACTCTGCATCTCTTTGTTAGGAGTATGAACGAGAGCGACATGCTCACAGCATCCTACAGTTTCAGTTCAGTGAGATGAAGGAGACGTTAAAACAGAGCGAGGAGTTACTAACGGTAAGGATTTCCTGTCCTGGTCATCTTGCATTCTGAGTAGACTTCTGGCCAGTGGACTGTTCTCATGAGCTGTTCTGTTGTGGCTCTAAGGGGTAAATCTGAGTGTTTTTTAAACCCCCACTCCTTTAGGGTTTAAAAAACATACCATAGACTTATTATTCAGTTACTAAATCTGTGCTATGCTAAAATTAAAAGAAGAACCATTACTGAGTCAGGAGGGGAAACACACTAAAATATGTCTTTAGTGAGTGACTCTGTAAAGCCTGAAATATTAATTTAAAAGTCAGAGGCGTCGGGGAGGATTTTTCAGGAGTTTTTCAGACAGTGCCTTATGTCTTTTATATTAACGTAACTGTCAATAATGACAATAATACATAATTCGCTCCTCAGAAGACTGAATTCTCACCGAATTTTACTTAGTTTTCTTTGCATACTCTTTCAAACGTCAGATTCAAAGCACAACTAATGTTGCAAAATACTCTTTTGCATGTCGCATGCAATGACACATTTACACCAGAGAGGTCTCCAAATCCCTTAATCTTACATAGTGCAGCTTTAACGTTATTTTTTAACTGTACTGCTATAAAGTACTATTAACTATATCGGCCTGTGTGTTACCACAGTAACAGCCCCCAGTGAGAGTAAAAACACATTTATCGCCAGTTAAAAATATAATTCATTTATTCGACACTGGTATTATCATAACTGGACTTTTAAACATGTAGGCAAACAAGAGACTAGGTATTCAATTTTACAACATCTTCATCAAAAGGTATTTTTCCTTTGGAAAGCGAAGTGACTCCTTTTCTAACTCCACAGTGAAACATCTTCTGGTTTATTGATTTGCCAGTTGTTCTGATGACATCAGTCATCTGAAAGTAAGTTTGACGTGATCATATGATTCGTTATTGCAATTCTGATTGGCTGTTCCATTAAACTTAATGAGACACTTGCAACTGTTGCAACTGAGTTTCAAATGAGTTGCAGTATGATTTACATTATGCTACTGCAGTACAATTTAGTTTCATGTAAGTTTCAAGCAACAAAAGTTGCGTGAAAGTTTCACTGTGTAAAGTTAGCCTGACCTTAACTTCAGAAACGAACACCACAGGCTTTGGTTCTTCAAGTTTTTCAACATATATATATTTTTTTAATATTTCTAAATAAATTAAGTTGTGCATCATTTTTTTCCCTTCTTACCATTTTGGAGATATGACAGCAACAAGTATTTTATTTTTTATTGCAATTACCTTTATTTCACGTATGGAGGCTTCTGTGTCAGCTGAGATGGAGGTATGTTGGGTAATGTGTTTTTAGACAGCTCAGACTGTAATGTTCATATGACACATGTGAAAGTCGTTCCTTGTACCAGATTAATTACAGTTTTGTGGCAAAATTAACAATATATTATATTTGTTTTTCCTTGACATTATACTTCAACTACAGCTTGTAATGAACTGCGATTTATGATGTTCTTTCATCATGTTCTTCAAGAATAAGACTAGAGGATCCAATCGCGAGCTGACTTTATTGCAGCAAGTAAATTACAAAATAAATCGGAGGCGACCAAAAACCAAAGACGAGATCCAAAAATCAGAATGAGCCAGGAGACGAGCAAAAGGTCATAGAACATGAAAAACACCAAGAGTAATAAGGCTTAGAATTGCAGAGAGTAAATCTGCAAAAGCCCCAAGCCAAACACAAGCTATCTGTAAGAGACAGTAATGAGAGAACAAGTTTCAGGTGAGCAGTTGGCCATTAAAACGCAGGTGTGAGCGACCTCTGCAGGCGGGGAGGGGAATCTCCAGCCAAGACTGCAACAATTTGACGAAGGCTAAACTTTACGTTATCACTATGTTTGCTCTCTTGTCTGCTTTAGTTTTAGGAACTGCTTTAAAAGTACAACACGGAAAAGTTGTGCCTTAACTGTTCTTGATGTTATCAATATTATCATTGTTATTTGTGTAAAATAATCATGGAGGGAATAGAAAGTGTACCCTCAAACCTGACTTTACTATTTTCCATGGTTATTTTTCACATGATTACCCAGATGACTTTGTTGCTCACACAGGCCTTTTACTAAAAGTGAAATTGATGAGATCTGTAGTTCAGAGAGTAAGGCATTGAAGTTCGGACCCACATATGAGTCGCTTAAAGTATCTTTTTTTTCATCTTGACTGAATTTGACTTGCTGTCCTGCACACATGGTGAGGAGCACTTCCCTTTATTGTGACTGCTCTTTGCCAGAGTGTCAGAAATCTGTTTATTAGTACTGGCATGTACAGTTGTTATTCCAGCTCTGTTCTTGGTCACCTTTATGTCTCTTTTGTCTTTCTCTTTTTCCTCTTTTCCTGTACTTGCCTTCCTGGCCGCTGCTCAGGACGCACAACAATTGCGTGCGAAGCAGGAGAGCTATGTTAGCGAGATTTCAGACCTGCAGGAAACGCTGGAATGGAAGGAGAAAAAAATCGGGGTACTCCCACCCTCATAAAATTTACGACCACAGAGCTTTCCTTTGACATTAAAGCTGCCCAGCGGGGATTCTGTTAAGCTGCTAGTGTAAGTGAGCATAGACTGAGTGAGTCTCATGTATTTTTAAAAGCTGTACTTAAGGCTGGATGAGAAACCATTTACACCCACAAGTGCTCAGTGAAGAACTTCCTCTGCTGGTGGGCAGAAATCCACCTGGGCAGCTTTGAGTGTTTCTTTCTAGCCAGTGGTCTTTGTAGAATTGTATGTTGTTTGTCTTTTTTTTAAGCTCACTGTAGAAATAGTCTTTGTACACTCTTAAAAATAAAGGTAGCAAAAGGGTTCTTTGGCCCGATGCTGCAAAATAACCACTTTGGGTTCCCTAATGAATGTTTCAGTGGATGGTAGATGCTAAAAATGGCTGTTTCTGAATATGTAAAGACATTAAGGCATTATAAACATCGCTATAAATATTTAAAAAAAGGCATTACATGTTATAGCCATGCTTATTATGCATTATGAATTGTTGACATAATGCATTATAAGTACTGATCATAACAAATTATAAGAGCTCATAAGTTGTATTTGTCCGCTCTAAGTAAAGTGAAGCGTACTGTACTAAAGCCTCCTCCAGTGTTCAGAGTGAGGCTTCAAGTTGAAGTATTTACTGAAGGATTTACTGAAACACTAAAACATTCACAGTAAAGCACATTACAGGCTTCAAATGTCAGAGTTTAAACTAGAGCTGCCATCAGTGTTTTACCCAATGTGGGAAAGGTAATGTACACCACCGTTAGCTTGGCACTAACTTAACACTGCATATCCAATAGAATTCTAGCAGGAATTAGCATTACTGTACTCTAGTGCAGTGTAGTGTAGGGATGTTAGAGTGAAGGGTTCTAGCGTTTGACGTTAGAACCAGTGAGGGAACAAATTACAATGACAGCACTCTACTATTTCGCCTCTCCCCTCCAGGCCTTCACTCCACAGTGACTTCACGCTCAGTGTGATGACAGAGGGGGTTCAGGGGAGAGGCTGACTTCTTTGGCACTGACAGTATAACATGTTATTAACACTATTTATAATGCATTATAACGTATAATGCAATTCATAACGTATAATAATAAACATGGTTAAAAAGTGTAATTCAGTATAATTAATTTTTATAAATATTTATAACCATGTTTATAATGCTGTATGAATGCATTATAACATGTTATGAATGTATTTATAGCTGCTTACAAATGTGACATTGTCCGATTTTTTGTTTAAAGTAATTTTGGAACATTTCTGTTGCACTATTCATCATGGAATTTGACCACATTATAAAGGGCGGCGAGCATTTTCAAATTCAGTAAAAAATAAATAAATAAATAAAAACTGAAAAATGGAGATACAAGATTTTGTCCTGACAACAACAATAAAATCAAGACAAGTGAAATAATGCCTTTTTAATATGGTTCTGATTTCTAACCAATCCACCTTGAGCCCTGAATGAGTTCGTGCCCTCATCTCCGTACATCCAACAATAAAGGAAGCCTCATGTTTTTATAGTGATAGAAAACACAGTAGCATGCAGAAAGCTCAGATTCTACATGCTGATACTTTTTTTTCTATGCCTGTGACTTCTCTGGCAACAAATTTAAATGAGCTAAAGGAACCAAAATAATGCAATAAGGTTAAAGAACCATTGTGTATGTCAGACTTGTGAGTGTGAAGAACATTTAAAGAACCATGGCAACAAATTTTGATATTCGAATATAGTTTTAAGAGTCAATGAGTCAATGTTTGTGTAAATGCAGGGAAGGAAAATGGCAAAAAAAAGACTTGGACTAAGCTTAGTATAGGGCTGAAGGTTCACCTGTTTAGGTGACAGCGCTGGTGTTGCACAAACGTGTAGCAGCACATAGAGAGATACATTAAAAAACATATCCAAAAATAACTCAGGAAGATTGGTAGGTTTTTGTGTCAGCTGAATAACAGATGCTGCTTTTTCAGATGAGCTAATGAACAAACAGCAAACTGGTACAATGTTGGATGCTAATGGAGACTCATTGTCCTTCACAGGTGTTTAGTCTTCAGTGGACGATGTATCCAAACCTATTTGTTTGTCAGAGGATTATACTTTAGCTGTACTTGGACCAAACTAACATCAGCTAGAGTAGTTAATCTAGTTAGTAGCATAGCCGTGCTACTTCTGACAACACGACCTTGGCAGTGCACTCGTTAAAATTCCAACATTTCACTGTCCTGTTAAAACAGAAGATCAACATTCAATTGTTGGACTGTATAATTTCATTGTCTTCCCAATATGAAACCTAAGCAATACCGTGATAGTGATTTCAGTATTCGAATGCTTGCATCTTGATTGGTTAACCAAGAACTAAGTTTGCACATCCCTCGTTCAAACTACGAAACATACCTTTATTTTTAAGAGTGTACATTCTGTGTCTTCAGTATTTTCTCTTTCTGCTTCAACTTTTCCCTCTTTTCTTTTTCTCTTCCTGCTTACTCCCTGCTGCCTTTGGTCTTGCGAAGGCCTTAGAGAGGCAGAAGGAATATTCGGATATTATCCGAGATGAGCGGGATGCACTGAGGGATGAGGTTTTCCGGCTCAGGGATGCTCTAAAGGTAGAGCGATTCAGAATACAGGGACTGCAGTCAGAACTTTCTCGATCAGCATCCGTGGCTGTATAAATAAAGGATGAATAAACTTAAATCTTCCTTCTTGCGCAGAAACATGGCATAGTTCTTGGATCTGAGGTGACAACAAATGGGGAAGTGGGAGGAAACCCATTAGACGCACGAGAAGATGAGGAATCGGCCTCTAGACTGGCTCAAGATCTCCACACGCCTAATACGAGTGGTGACAATATTTTGGGTAAGACTATGGTATTTCAGTTAATAAGTGATTGTACAGTATATTGTCTGGAATCACCTATTATATAAATCAAGTCTTAAATGTAATATGATTGTATTTAATTGTCTTTTGGTTCTGTGTCAACTGATTTTTTTGTCTACAGTTGTGTCCAAATCTTGCAGTGGGTGTAACCAATTACTCCACGTCTGTCCAATGGAATTCATTAATCAGATCAGTGTCTCTTGCAGCTTTTCTTACCTCGAAATCTTCCATCTTTTCAAATTGCCTTGTTTTCACTTTTCCAAACTGATTTTATGAAGAACGTTTCCTGCTTTTCCTTCTTCGTTGATCTCCTCCTGATCATTATCTTCATTCCTTCTCTGCACCAAATCAGTCTGACTTGTCTAAAAAAAGCAAGTTGTTTCATATGATCCTTCATATTTTCTCAATGATGTTCCAGAGAGCGCTCCAGAAGATCAAGCCCCTAAAAAGGACAGGACTTCAAGGAGGCATTCAAGGCCACGCTTGGGATCCCGATCCCATTTACCGATCCTTAAGAGAACAATTAGTTCAGAAAGTGCAACCAACCTAGAAGAAGAAAAGAGGTCTGCATCTGAAGATAAGCTCAGAGGAACCTTGGGGACACCTCGCAGGGTTGCAAAGGGGGCACTGAAGTTCAGAAGCTCAAGTGATATGTCAAGAATGCAGATGCAGGAGGACATTCAGGTTCCTAAAGCATATGCAACAGTGGAGCAGTCCATTAGAGGTGAAGATTTCAGTGAAAGGTTAGAGTATCACGATGAGAAGATCACTAAGCAACTGACAGCACAGTATCCCAAATCAGCTTCTGCAGATGGCCATGCGAGCCATCATGTTGCAGACTGTAGTCAGGCAGCAACCCTCCAAGAAAGTGCAGGTGAAGGACCAAGTCAAGACGAAGCATTGAGCAAAGCATCAGACAATGTAATCAAACCAGCGAATGAGCAAGAAGCTGCAGATGCCACCAAACCTCCAGAAAACCAAACGGAGAACACCACAGATCTGCTGAATAAAGATGTAGAAGCACTTTCAGCACAACAAAACAATTCCCAGAGTATTTATACTCAGAGTCATTCTGCAGCCATTCAAAAGAAAAGGCAAAGTGATGATGAAACCGTGAGGAACATAGAGACGCCAGAAACCAGCAAAAGCTGTCAAGATCTCACAAAGCCCCAGAACCATGGTGATTTGGAGATGATGAGCACCTCAAGAGAAGTCCACTCACTGAACAGCGAGCAGGAACAGTCTGAGACAGAGTCTCAGCTTGAAACAGAGGATTGCATACTTCCCATGCCAGTGGAGGAGAAAGGCATAGCCATGTTTTTAGACAGCTGCCAAGAAGCTGGACTATTGGACTTTGAAGTTCTAAGATTAGACCCATCATATACATCCAGCACTGAGCATCTGAAAGAGGAAACTGCTGCTGGGGATCAAACGAGGAAGATGAGGCAGAAGACCAAGAAGAGAAATGAATGCAGCTTATCATAATTTTTAAAATAGTGATTGTTTAGTACTGATTTCTTTATAGAATAGTATTGTAGTTATGTTTAGATGTGTAATACCAATCTTGTGTCCAGACCCTTGTATTGTTCTTATACTGCCTCATTTGGGAGATTTTACTGTGAAAGCATCAAATGACATTGTAAGTGTTTTAAAGAGTCTGGAAAACTTGACTTTTATATTGCGACTGCATCCAGTGGATCAAATGTGTGGTCCAGTTTGTGTAGCTCTGTGTGAGACACACACCTCAGTGGAGAATTTGACACCAGAATCATTAAAGTCGTGATCTTTCTGAGTGTGCTCTATTCAGTACACTCTAAACAGGGTGACATGAACAAACAGCTTGCTTCTTCTGAACACTGACATTCTCTATATCAGCTCTATTCTTTGATCTCTTTATTCTATATTCAAGGCTGTGTATGTATTTGTCTTAGCCCCTTTGTATGACCACATCTTAAGGATCATTATAAAAGATACTGCATGGAAAACACTGCAAAATTACAAAGTAAGAGTGAGGAATGGAACCCAGTGGTGGATCCATTAAATTTAGGGGTTTAAAAAGGTTTATTCTTACAAAACGTATAACAGAAGCCTGAGGTGGATGTGAATCTCTTCCCTCTAAAAGTGCAAAATTTTAGATATGTAGATGATTTAAAATGCATAAATGCATCTGCCTGAAAGAGGCTGTTTAGTTCAGGCTTTCAGCTCTTTCATTTATTCCTCATCTTGTATATTTTTTACTATAGTCTTCAAAATATCTGGAAGAACTTGTTTTCGCATTGTCTTTAAAGAATGATGAACCTACATATGTATAATACTGTGCAAAAAAGACCACTCTTCATTTATTTAATTTCCAGTGTGAAAGTTATTTTTTCAGGCCTGATTTCTGAGGAGATTAGACAGAAGATCATCCACCTGCATGAGGAAGGGGGACGTCAAAAGAAATTAGATAAAAATAAGATGCAAACAAAATGGAACTCCTAACCGTGCAAGACATGGTAGACCACCGAAACTGTCCCCATCTGATAAACAGCACTTAAAGCTTTCATCTTTGAGAGAGAGGAGAAAATCAAGCTGCTTCAGATCTGAAAACATCCACAGGTGTTTCTGTCCATCCTTCCACTGTGAGAAGACGACTCAGCGCTGTGGGTCTGAAAGGATGTGTAGCTGTCAAGAAGAACCTCTCTGAGAAAAGGAGACAGACAAAAAACAAAATTTGCAAATCAAGCACAGAAGCTGCTGGTGAACAATGACTGACCACCCCAGAGTCCAGACCTCAGCAACACTGAATGTGTTTTGGATTACTTGGATAGTGAGATGCAGAAAATCCAACCAACTAAGTTCTAAGACTGAACTTTGGAGGTGTGGAAAAATATCCCAGCAGATTTCTTTGAAAAACGAAAAGCAAGTGTCCTGAAAAAATGGAGGCTATAATAAAAGCAAAGGGTGTACATACTAAATGCTGAGGAGTGGGATATTGTATTTGGTTGTTGAGGCTTCTGTGTAATTTTCTGTTAAATATGTGGATGAAGGGTGGTCTCTGACTTTTGCACAGTATTGTACACTCACGAGATGTAACTCATCCAGAATTGCAGTTCTCTGTATATGTGGAAACTATGCATATAAACTACTGTTCAAAAGTTTACAATCAGCGTTTTCAGCTATATATAAAACTAATTTGGTTTCAGATAAATGTGTAAAATGAATTCAGTCTGTTAGTCCTGTGCACCTTCACAGTTTTCAAATAATTAGCTGGAAGCTCAGATAAAGGAAAAAAAAAGAAATTTTAGATGGCTTCAGAATGAGGAACATAACTGTAGATGATTCTAAAATGACAGACAAAGTCATGGTACATTTGGAAATGAAGTTTTAATAAATTTAACACTCAAATACATATGAAAAGTGGTCAAATCTTGAGGTAGATAACTTGTCCAAAACTATACTGCAATAGTGCAAAGTATATTGCAGGGCATACATAATAAAACATCTAAAAATGCTTTCTGGCATCTTGTTTATTTATTTAAATCTACATTGTTAAAAGTTATTTTTGTATACAAAATAACACAAATTATTAATATAACAAGTGATCCCAAACCTTTGAACATTAGTGTATGAATCGTTTTGGTTGAGTCCACAAGACCTTTAATATGATTCGTTATAAAGCTCATTATATTTTACAGGAAAGTTTTTTCAAACTTTAATTAAATAGCCTAAAGCAGTGCAAATCAAGTGCAGGAAATACACCAGAATGGGTTATTTTTAATATTATTCTTTCTGTCATAACAACATATCAGATTTGATGTGAATTGAAAGGGGTCTAAATAAGGCTGAACGATTAATCGCTTTTATATTGAAATCACAGTTTGAAAGAATGCAATTTTAATTATCATAATTCAAGATGGCCTTTATTTTTTAAAAAAAAAATTAACCTAATAGTGCAGAGCAGGTGAACTGTGAGTCTGGCACACTACATTCAGCGTTTGAGCCTAATCTTCTTGGTGAAAAAAAGGACGGGAGCTTAATTTCATAGAAAAGAATTGCATTTAAATCACAAGATCAGTCAGAAAAATCGCAGTTAGGTATTTTTTCCTAGTATTGACTCGACAGGTTCTCTCACATGGGCTTTGTTTATGATGGTAATGATAATTTATGTATTATGTTTTTGGTGGATAACTTGTGTGGAAAGGCCTTAATTTAAATAATAAAGATAATCACATTTGCAGTATTGATCAGAAAAATTGCATTTAGACGTTTTCCCCAGACCATTAAGCCCTAAGTGCCAGTTCAGATAAGCTTCAGATGTTTTTTACTGAGGGATTTTTCTGTGCAGAAATTTTACATCAACATACGATATCTGCTGCTAAAAACAATTAAATAAATACCATCCTCAGAAATTAATCCAGCACATTCAATGCATTAATGCCTCTAATAGTGCATCAGGTTTACTAAGGCTTGTCTGTGTGTGTTGTATCTTTTAGAGATCCGGTTGAGGAAGCTGGTTGAGGAGAGGGAGGGTTTGCTTGAACAGGTAGATCTCATCACCTCACCTCACCTCACCTCACCTCATGCTGTTGTTTGTCCATCATAGGCCATACTGCTGATTTACATGGTGCCTATGTGTGTAGGTCAGGAAGCTGAAAGCTGTTGTGGAGCAAAAGCAGAGGAATGGCACAGAGGAGGCGGTCAGCCCAGATGAAGATGACCTCCAGAATGGCCTGGACCCTCATATCCTGGATTTACAGAGTAAGACATGCATTTCGGACCCTGCAGATAGTTTTGTGCTAAGCTCAGTACAACTCTTAGAAACATCTACCGTGTTGCTCCACCTTGCTGGTGTACAATTACAGACTGTAGCTCATATGTTGATGCTCAGTGTGTGTTAGTAATCCTCTGTTCCTTCACTAGTGGTCAGTTTCTGACCAGTTCTGGCTGGGTATGGTTGGATGTTGTACTGCTGTTAATTTAGCAGTGATGCTGACGTGTATATAATCCCAGTAACACAACTCTTACCAGCACCGCACGACTATCCCAGACAACAAACTTTGATTGAAATTTTGATATTGGGCAACTTTGTTGATACCATTTCTCATTGTATTGACCATTGATTCGGTGTTGGGAAATCAGCCACTGATAGTTGAGTAGCAGTTGATCTAATTTTGTTGATTTACTGTTGATGCTGTGCTTTATCCTTTATGCAGTGTTGATTTAGCATTAAAAGCAAACAAAATTCAGTTTGGTATTTACAAAACGTAACAAACCTTACTCACATTTTTAGCTGTTACAGTTATAGTGGATTCATTCCTGCATGGCAGTGCTGCCTGGATGGGGATTCAATCCCGAATTTACTGTATTCCAGGCTATTGCATTACCCAGTGCACTGTTCTTTACGCCGCTTTCACATGGCTACATGCCACATGTTCTACCAACTTATGTCATCCAGTTTGTAAGCATGTGGAAGAGGTGTGAAGAACGGCACTGTGAGTAAACAATTGCACTGCATGTAGAAGATTGGAGATTTGATCCCCATCCAGGGGAAAAAAGTCTTCAGGTAGGCCCCCAAAGCTGCCCTCTCCTACCACTGTAGGTTTCTCTGGATTAGAGTTTCTGCTAAAAGCCTGAAAATGTAAGCATGCTTTTAATACTGAACTGATTCAACGTTGAATCAACACTGCCCAGTAATTGTGTAGACACTTGTTTCAACATTGAATCAACATGAGTGCTGACATTAGATCAACAGTTATTCAACCATCAGCGACTGCTGTTCAATCATCTACTCAGGCTTATCCTCCTGGGCTGAGGGGCTATCCCAGCCCTCATTGGGCAGAAGACCATAATCAGAGATGTATGTCGATTGAACAAAATCAAAGATTGCTGGGTACCTGGGTATGGCACTACCACGTCAGTGTCACTGGCTGTGTTTCTTCTTGCCAATCTGATTGAATACATTCCGATTATAGATTAAGACTGAGGTGTTTATTCTGACTCTACTCATCAATCTGATGGTAAATCTTCGTTTACATGCTCACCGCAAACAATCAGATCCAAAATTACACACGCGTGAAGAACCACTTAGTGTAGACGTTACCATGACAACCAGAATCACGTGAGTCCAGTCAGAGTGAGATGAGCAGCAGTGAGCAGTGCTTGTGTTTTTAATCACTTTAAAATGATGTCAGACTCAGGAAAACGTCCTTCACATGTCCTTATTAAAGAAGCCCGAGAGAAAGACGTCGTGTTCTGAGACACATAAGCTGGACGTCCGTCCCACCACCGTCTTTTAAAGATCAGAGCATAAACTTCGTCTCCTCTGCAGACCAGTTTCTGCTCCGCCATGTTGAACGGTATAAACTTTCACTATGACGCGACGAACATGATCAGAACGGACTTAAACTTTCCGATAGGGAATGTAATCAGATACAGGCGTTTACACGGATATTATTCTTCTATTTAACGGATTATTTACAGGATTACCCACCTCGTTCAGTTCAATAGAACTTGTATTTCGAATGGCCTCATTTAGACTAGACTAGCATACATGAACGTATTATATTCTGATTGAGCTATTAGTCTGATTATTAACGGTTTATTACACTGCATGTAAACGTGGCTACTGCTCTGTTGAAAATGGGCCAACACACAAATAATGTCTAGTCAGCAGCAGCCCTGGGGTCAGAAACTGACAGATGAATTGGGTAGAGAGTAGCTTCTGTGCATGACAACAAAGTGCATACAGTACCAATACACATATTTTGGGCTGAATATAGTTGGAACTGCATAAGGTGGCCAGTGAGTGGGAGTACAAGGTAGGAGTTTCTGATTAAGTGGACAGTGGACATTGAGTGCATATAAAACCTATCAACTTTTTCAATTTAGAGTAAACAGATACTGCAAAAAACTTCCATTATTGCTATGACTTTCCATATAATATACAATGTTGGAATCCAAAAGATGCGATGACACTTCTGAAGTGCCAGTCGAGATTCCTCAGTATTGTTTCTTGTTGTGTCTTTGTCAATGCAGGAGATGCTAACAGGCAAATCAGCGACTTGAAATTTAAGCTGGTGAAGTCTGAGCAGGAGGTCGCAGCTCTTGAGCAGAACGTAAGTGGGGTAACAGCAGTGATCAAATGGGTAGTAGAAGAGAATCTCATCCTTCACTGCTAAGTACAGCCAATCGTGTACTTGGTTTAAAAGTGGTTTCAAGGTATTTTAGAACCGCAATCAGGAATGCAGAATGATCTCTTAATTTCTTTTTAATGACTTTGTTAATGTTTAATGTTTTCCAGATCATTCGGCTGGAGGGTCAGGTGACCCGCTATAAAACTGCCTCTGAAGCAGCAGAGAAAGTGGAGGATGAGTTGAAAGTGGAGAAGCGTAAACTGCAGAGAGAGGTAACAATCTATAGATCCATTTTGGGCTTGTAATTAAAGTACTTGGACCTCGCTTGATGTATTTCGCTGGTGTCCACATTCAGTCGTTATTCATCAAGTGGAGAAGACACAGTGGCCCACTGGGGACCGTATAAACTGCATGCTATGTGTTTGGCATCACAGCAGGCCTGAAATAACTTTAATTCAGCTTTGCTACAGAGAGGGAGTTTAGTACTAACCAGAACTGGAGTAGGCAGATTTGTGATGTCCACAGTGCTTCAAAACGTCTGATAATTGGTTCGCTACTTTGCTTAGTATTTATGAAATTGCCTAATCTCAGTCTTGTAGATTACAGGATGGAATGGCCAAAAAAATAAATAAATAACCACAATTAAAATCAATTTAATATGATAGAAATATTGTGAGCGCAAGTGTAGAGAATTGAAATTAACATTCTCCTCAACCCCTGATAAATAATTACAAGAAAAAAAACATTTAAGCAATAGAACACGAGTGTTATTGTGAACAACATGGCTGTGATTGGGTCACAGGTTAGAGCACGTTGTACCAAACATGCTTAAATATTCGTAGCTCCTTCTGTCACAAAAAGTAGAAGCCTTTTGTGTTATAGAAAGAGCCATGAATCTATTGCAATATCAGGTTCTGCTCAGATTACCCTGAACGTCGTTTTGTTCCATAAAGCATTTCACCTCCCTTCTTGTTAGCCAAACTGTAGTCTGTTCGTCTTTGGCTAATTCCAGTTTCTTAAATTGTGCCACCGTCATAGCTGCCCACCGAAAAGCATGCTTAGAGGCAATGACCGTTTGGAATTTGATGCAGTCCTGCTGTTGCACTCTTCTTCAAAATCAGACCAAATGGGCTGCAGATCAAATATAATCTTATAGAAGTTATTTTCTGTTTTTGTATGTGCTAAAGGAGAACCGTAGTACACAGCATAAAGCTTTCTTTGCAACTGGTGTTCAGCCATTTTTGTGAAAATACATGCCACTATCACAAATACACTATGTGGACAAAAGTATTTGGACACCCCTCGTAATTATTGAGTTGAGGTGTTTCTGCCACACCCATTGCTGACAGGTGGATAAAATTAAGCACATAGCATTGCAGTCTCGATTGACAAACACTGGCAGTAGAATGGGTCATACTGACGAGCTCAGTGGCTTTAAACATGGACTGTCATAGCCACCTCTGCCACAAGTCAGTCTGTGAAATGTCTTTCCTGCTAGATCTGCCCCAGACAACTGTAAGTGCTATTATTGTGAAATGGAAGCATCTATGAGCAACAGCAGCTCAGCCATGAAGCAGTAGACCATGCAAACTCACAGAGTGGTCACAGAGCTGAAGCACACAGTGTCTGTTCTCTGTTGAATCACTCAATAGAGAGTTCCAAATTGCCTCTGCAAGCAACATCAGCAAAAGAACTGCCAGTGCACAAAGCAAGGTCCATAAAGGCCTGACTGGGAGAGTTTGGTGTGGAAGAGCTTGACTGGCCCTCACAGAGTCCTGACCTCAACCCCATCATTCACCTTTGGGATGAACTAGAACAGAGATTGTGAGCCAGGCCCTCTCGTCCAACATCAGTGTCTGACCTTACAAATGCTCTTCTGGATGAAGGATCAGAAATTCCCACAGACTCTCTCCAACATCTTGTAAAAAGCTTCCCAGAAGAGTGGAAGCTGTTAGAGCTGCAAAGGGGGACCAACTCCATATTAATTCCCATGGATTTAGAATGGGATTTATAAAAGCTCTTGTAAGTGTAATGTGTAGGTGTCCCAATACCTTTGTCCATATAGTGTAACTGTGAGTAGGGCACTTCTCACTCAGTCAGATTGTGTTGTTGGAACTAACCCTAGTCTTTTTCCTCTTTTCATTTCTAGCTGAGGTCTGCTCTAGACCGCATCGATGAACTGGAGGCCAGCAACAGCCACCTGTCCAAGAGACTGGAGAAGATGAAGGCCAATCGGAGTGCACTGCTGGCCCAGCAGTGATGCCTGCCCGAGCCCGCTGCCCTGCCCTCAAACTGCTTTCATCATCTATTGGCATCAGCCCTGTAGCACCCACACCTCATTTCATGATCTACAGTTACAAATTGAACAGGCCCAGTAATCAGCGATGTTAATTACCCAAACTACGTGCCATTCTAAAACACTTCAGATGAAAACTCACACCTGCAGAATTGTTTAACTGGAGTAGCAGTGCCCTAGTGGCATTAAGGCTCACTGCATTATTTGAGTCTAGGACAGGAGCAGAATAAAGGTGTTTGAGATTCCTTATGAACAGGATGAAGGTGCCATTTCCGGAGGAGTCTTGATGAGCATTGAACATTTCTTGACCTTGCTGGATTCAGCCCATGGACCACACTGTTCCCCTGTGTTCTTGGAGCAATCTGAACATGAAGCACATTGATAGGAGTTCACAGGAGCATATCAGCATCGTGGGCGTTGACTTTGGCGCCACCTAGTGGCTAACGCACTTTATCAGTCATCTCTTTCTGCAGCATGGAGATTCTGGTCCGGAGCCTGGAAACATAGCTACAGACATACAGGCTGGCAGATGAAGGGATTGGGCTGTTCCAGTGTACACGGGTGTGTTGTCCACGGACACCACGTGCTGTTGGATTCACAGACACTGTGCTTCCTCTCGGCAGGGAGCTGAACAATCAACATAATTAGTAGCTACTCCTCTCTGGAGGCAAAAGAATATAGAGCATATGACTCTGGAGTGCGCTCAGTTGACCTATCCAGGCTTCGATCACGAATGCGTTCTTTCATAGCAACTGTTGCCGGGTTGGACAAGCTTTACAGAATGTCTGCAAAAATCAGATTCAACCTAATGAAAAATTGTAGCACTCTTTTGTTAAAGGAGCTACATAACATTGAGGTTTCAGTCTAAAATACTGCACTACTTCTGATAGTGTGACCTCACACATTCAAAATGAATAGAATTTTTGTGTTTTACGTTACGAGCTACAAATTCTCAGTAGGTTGGAAGATGGAAGAAGATATAGAATGGACGATATAAGATGCACAGGTGTGTTATTACATTTAGTTTGCATTACAAAATGCATTTACTAATGTGCAAAAAGTGCACAAATGAACTAGCTATTAAGTCTAGTTGGGACCTATATTACGTTAACTATAATAATTGTGGCTCTGCATTAAATAAGTAGATCCATTAAAGTACTTCTGAAATGTCAACATATCTTTCACATCATTCCTTTATGCCAGAAAAGAAAGACTTCTGGTGATAATGAGTCAGACAGGCAAGTACTAGATGGGATTCATTATAAAACTTATATATCATACATCCATTCCAGTTAAGCAGAGCCAGAAATAGGACCTAATGCGTTTGACCAAACTGTTGCACACTTGTGTGAATATCTGTAAAATACACAGATTATTGGCCACTTAATGAAGGGGCCCTATGTTTTGTTTATTTTTTTGTATATATGTGTCTGCAGATGGGGGTTTGTCCATGTCAGAGGGTGTCATAGATGTCAAAGGGATAAAAAGACAGCACTTGTCCATCTAGTTTGCCGAATCATGGTGCGAGAACATGGACATTATATGGACATTCAGTAGACAGAACAGGCACTTGGGATATCACCAGCTTAAAACATCAGTGGCTTTGGGTTTTTGAGGTTTTGTTAAGAAAAAACAAAATGATATTGCAATAATGCTTATTTTGTTTGAATGTAATTGGCTGCTGCTTTGGACTTTGGGCCACAAGAAAGCAGTGGCAGTAGCCTCTTTGGGCCTTGGGATGAGCACCAGTGCCTGACTGATATGAAATGTTTGTGACCAATAATGATCGATAGTGACTGATTTAAGACTAATTTTCTCCTAATACTGCGTGTTTCTCACAGTGAATGCTTTTTAGATCTTTAAATAAAATATAATATCAGCCAAAAAGAACATCATCAAACACAAAACACATTTTTACTGTTATTTAATTTACTCAAAGAGTTTTTTCGCCCATGGTAATTAACCAAATTTAGCTTTAGCAGAGGCCAATTATTCAGAAAGTCAAGTCAAAGTTTATTAGCGCTTTTTACAACAGGTGTTGTCACAAAGCAGCTTTACAGAAAAAATCTTGGTCCGAGCCCCCCGTGAGCGACAGTGGCAAGACTCCCTAAGAGCAAGAGGAAGAAACCTTGAGAGGAACTAAGACTCAAAAGGGGAGCCCATCCTCCTCTGGTTGACAGCAGATAGCAAAGAATAACATAAGAGCAAAATAAACAAAGAATAAGTTCCAAAAGTGCAGGTCTGTCTAGCCTCAGGTAAGGTCAGTGTTCACAACTCCACAGTAAGAAATCGACTGGGCAAATGAGGCTTTCATAAAAGAGCAGCAGAAACCTTTTTAGGATAATGTTCTATGGACAGACCAGCTCAACGTAACATCATACCAACATCGAAACATGGTGGTGGTAGTGTTGGGGAGGGATTGTGTCTGTTCATCTTTACTTGAGCTGAAGCTGAAATGTACTCAGGTTCTGCAGCAAGACAACGATCCATGGCTTGAACCCAACAGAGATGCTGTAGCAGGGCTTCAAACAAGCACTTCATACTCAAAAACCTACCAGTATATCTGAATTAAGGCAGTTCTGCAAAGAAGAGTGGGCTCAAATTCCTCCACAACAAATGTACAAGGCTGATATCAAAGTATAGGAAACGATGACTGCAGTTACTACTGCTAAAGGTCAGGAAACAAGTTTTAAGGGGGCTTATTTACATGAAACAACATCCGCTAACAGCTGCGAACATCTGGATCTGTTTCACATGAGTGATTTGCATGTTGGCTAACTGTAAAAAATGAAATAATTTAAAATCTTTTGTCCTTGATAAGATTCTCTTAGTCTAATATTGCATCTTGTTTAAAGCTCTAAAAGCATTCGTTGTGACAGATGCAGTAACAGATAAAATCAGAAAGGGTGCGAATACTTTTTCACAGCCCTATAGTCATATGATATAATTGTAAATGGTTTCCTCCACATCGGAGGTGTTTGTACGCACCAGTATAAAACAGGTCACTAAATATTGGTGCATCATCAGCCAAGTTCTGAACAGTACTGATAATTTCACAGGACATCAATATCGGCCAATATTACTGGCCAACTGATATATCAGTCGGGCCCTAATGAGCTCCAGAGGTTCTTTCTTTTTGGATTGTGTTATGTGACTCGCATCTTCCTTCTCCAGCAAACTGTGGGCCCAGGAGATGCTGCACCACTTTATCTACAGACCTTACAGTCATTCCCTCCATAGGAGAACTGGACATGTGCTCAACTTGCAATCCTTTCCATGGACAGACCTTCAGTGGTCATTACTTTATGTACACAAAGGCTGGTCAGTGTGATACAACATAATTAAACACATTCATGCAATAATTCAGGTGTTTTTGGGTTTTTTTTTCCACAGATGGAATCGCTTCAGTTACGCTCTTTATAAATAACTCAAACAGTTTCTGTGCATAAACAGCAGAGGGCAGCATTGCACTTTAAAAGTGTGTGTCTTTGCTGTACCTCTAAAACTTCCCTCAACAATATTCATGTGTTTTACAGCTTTCCTCACTTGTCAAGGCACGTTTTCTGAGTCATCTGCTAAAAGCTGCTAATTTCTGGATCTGTTTCACTCTCACTGATTTATCATGCAATACTCCAAAACAGCTTATAGACAGATTCAGGACTTTATAAATATGGCATTACAAGCATATTAATATACTCAAGAACACAAATACAAAAATTAATAGCTTATATCCTGCTAATAAGTCAACTGTATCAGAGATACAGTGAAGATATTTTACTATTACAATTGTATGCAAAAATTTGCATTCCAAATGACGTTTTGTTCATTTTTGAGGGGAAAAGTAGTAAATCCAACCTCTGTATACAAATATTTTATATTTTATTAACTTAAAAAAAAAGAAAACTAAACGTGTGGAAGGTGTCACGGATCACGAATCACGGTGCGAGAACATGGACATTATATGGACATTCAGTGGACAGAACAGGCACCTGGGATAACACCAGCTTAAAACATCAGTGGCTTTGGGTTTTTGAGGTTTTGTTAAAAAAAAAAACAAAATGATATTTTTATTGTTATTTAATTTACTCAAAGAGCTTTTTCGCCCATGGTAATTAACCAAATTTAGCTTTAGCCGAGGCCAATTATTCAGAAAGTCAAGTTTATTTATTTAGCGCTTTTTCAACAGGTGTCGTCACAAAGCAGCTTTACAGAAAAGATCTTGGTCCGAGCCCCCGTGAGCGACAGTGGCAAGGAAAAACTCCCTAAGAGCAAGAGGAAGAAACCTTGAGAGGAACTAAGACTCAAAAAGGGAACCCATCCTTTTCATAAGAGCAAAATAAACAAAGAATAAGTTCCAAAAGAACTTGCAAAGTCTGCAAACTGCAGGTCTGTCTAGCCTCAGCTAAGGTCAGTGTTCACAACTCCACAGTAAGAAATCGACTGGGCAAATGAGGCTTTCATAAAAGAGCAGCAGAAACCTTTTTAGGATAATGTTCTATGGACAGTCCAGCTCAACATAACATCATACCAACATTGAAACATGGTGGGGGTAGTGTTGGGGAGGGGTTGTGTCTGTTCATCTTTACTTGATGGTGTGGAATGTACTAAGTCACCTTACTTACCCTACTAAGATACTTTGGCCGATATCACAGCTTGCAAACACTTTTTGTAGCCAGCTAAGAGTTTTTCTATTGTCCCGTTTTCTAGCACATTTTCATGCATGTCCTTAAGTGACTCTTCTAGTTCTGCAACATTCTTGGGCCGTCTTGAATGACCAGCATGTTTATATTTCCAAAGATGAAGTCAGGGGACTCTTAATACCAACCAAAAGCTTCAGCCTGTGTTTCGTGGAGTTGTTTATGCTGGATTTTGAGGATGTTTTGGATCATTGTCCCAGCTTTTTTCCGCTTCTGTATCCTGACAGACTGAGTCACATTTCTTGCCAGAATTTGCTGGTATTTATTGTAGTGTTTCTTGTGCCACTGTCTGCCACACAACCCCAAAGCACACTAGATACATCCCAATGCTTAACAGTTGGCAAGGTGTTCTTTTCATCAAATGCTGCTGCTTTTTCTCTGCTAATATACCTTTGGTAACTGTGGCCAAAAAGTTCAATTTTTCTTCATCAGTTCACATTTCATTTACAAATTTCCTCTGGTTTATCTAGATGTTGTTTTGCATACTTCAGACATTAACTTTTGTTGACTTTTTGTTGCAGGGAAGGTAAGACATGAAGTTTGACTTTTACATTATGTTTACGTCACAGTTACCTGAATAAGAAAGCGAAGATAATGTGGCAAGGCAGAACTACAAGACTGAACAAAAGAATGGGCAAATTCAGGGAGCGAGTCGTCCAGCCAGGCCACATGGACCCTAGAACTCATCCCTGAATCAATCGCCACCACCTGCTTTTTGTGTCGGAGAACTGAGCTGATTCTGTCGAGAGCAGAAATGTAGGAAATAGATGTAACTCAGCTCGTCCAGACATCGCCAAAAACCGTTCCACAAAGCAGAATAGTGAATCCACCAATCAGAAAACAGTGATAATGCCTGCTACAGTATCCTAAAGTCAAACAGATTACAGATAACAGATAAAAGGTAACTTTTGTATTTCTACTGAAGGGTGACTGGCATAAAGACGGATGATAAATAATAGGAAAAACCTGAATAAAAAGAATTGGCCCTCAAAAAGAATGTACACATCTGGAGCTGAAAAACAAAAGAAAAAAGAAGATGAGGAGAAAAATCTTAACGATAAAAGTTTGTTTTTTTCATGCCATTCTTTTGGCTTGTAGTTGGACAAGAAGACATAGTCAGTCTGGGGTCTGTCTAACAAAACAGATTAAACTTAGACCCAACGTTTTGACTGTTTCAGCTTCACAAAACCTGACAAACACAGACATGGTTTCTCTTTTTACAACAAGTTTAACTACTCCAGTGGTGACTAATCCTCATGCGTGTGCATATGAAAGCGTAATGTTTATGACAAACAGCCAACATGAAACACATGAAGAAGTCGGCAAAGAAGGAAATAGAAATCATAATATCTAAAAATGTAGAAAGCATTAATATCAGTAAAAAAGCAGTGCTGTCACCACTGATACCAGGGTTAGATTAAACTAAGCTTACAGAGCATCTAAACATCAGAAATACACAAATTGACCAGTTATAAATGTATATGATTCAGACAGGTTAGGACAGTCATTATTAGTTAGCCTCTAATTTTATGTACATCAGTTAGCAAGATGGGGTCCCCCCAAAAAAAACATTGCTAAAAGGCCAGAGTTGGCCCGGCTACAACAAAAGAACAGCACATATGTGAATGCCTGACCCCTACAGTGAGGGCATCTTGTGGCTCTATTATGCTGCTTTGCAGGTCCACTTGTGAGCGCATCATCATCATCATCATCATCACTTTTATTTATATAGCGCCTTTCTCATGCTCAAGGACGCTTTACAATGAATACATAATCAACAATACATAACACAGGACACACACACACACACACACACACACACACACACACACACACACACACACACACACACACTCCACGATTCCCACAGCTAGTGAGGGGAATTTCACTGACCACAGTATAGAGTCACGTAGCTAGCCCGGAAAGAGTCCTTAGTGGCAGGGAAAAGTCCTTCGCCACCAAGGGGTAGCATTTTCCTGCAGCCGAACACCACCAGTCCAGGCAGCCTCATAGCTGCAGTGCAACGTCAACCAAGCAGCCAGCCCAAGCTGCGCTGTCACGTCGATCAGGTCCCCAGTCCAGAAAGCCCCGTAGCCGCGATGCAGCATCACTCAAGCGGCTTTTCCAGGCTGCATAATAGCTGAGATGTAGTGTCACCCAAACAGCCAGTCCAATAAGCCCCTGAGCCACAGCTGGAAAGTCACTCTCGGCCACTATCTCGGAGGATATGATGGCAAACTTCTAAGGCAAACATCAAAACAAACATACAAACAATATAAAACTATAAAGGAATATAAAACTCTCTAAAGGAGGCCACTTGTGATATTTTAAACATCTGGTATTTTTACATAAATTGTTATGGCTGTATTGATTTAAAAAACAATAATGTGGTGGGTCCACCAGACCACTGAGTAACACACACATCAACACCACACAAGGGTTAAGTTGGTCAAGAACAGGCTAAAATATAATTTTAATTATGTTTTTTACATATTTTTTACACATAAAACATCATTTTAGCATATTTCTATTTCAACTTGACTAGACTACAGAAACCAGGGCAGTGTTCTGTTTATCAAAAACTATTTTAAGAGTGAAAAGGATAAAAGTGGCAGAGTAAGAACTGCTTTATACAGTATTAGGAAAGAAGATACGGAGCATTTTGCCTTAAAAGAGGCTTTCATTCATTGGGCAAATATTGTCCAACCTTTCTTGCAGTCAGTGAACCATCATGTTTCTGTCTCCTTATTTATGTCAGCTTGTTCTATTATGAAGGATGAAACAACAAATATGTTTTTGCTGTAGAATTGAAGAAGGAAAAAAACAGTCAAGGCCTCAGTGTTGTTTGAGAGATCTTAGATACTACAGACCGGTCTGACCAGACATGCTCTAGATGACAAAAATAAAATAAACACAGTACATGCAGTGCAAACTGTTTGGATTGAATCAACTGTATCCGGTATGTATTAGAGGTGTGAGTTCCATTTAAAGTCATTTCTTCAGGATTATTGACAAAGATTTTGTTAGCGGTTAATTAGCCCAGCATCAGACTGAAAATATGAAAAATTCTAACCTTTAAATCTAAATCTAATCTTTAGTTGAAGTGAGTTTGGTCTAAGACTAATTTTAAGAAAAAAAATTATAAATATTATAAATCATATAATTCTAAAATATCATAATTATTGCCACCCCAACATTAAGTACTTAAGTACAACCTCCCTTTGCCAACACGACAGCAGTCTTCTCCTATATTGCTTGATAAGGTTTGAGAATACAGAGCATAGAATCTGAAACCCCTTCTGAAGACAGACTCTCCACATCCTCCTGATTAGTTTGAGGTTAGGGGACTGACCTGGTCAAGTCAAAAGCTTTATTCTGGGGTCATTAAACCATTTTTGTGTAGATTTGGATCACTGTCTTTCTGGAAGATCCAACTATGACCTCATTTTAGCTTTTCGGCTGGAGGAGGCCAGATTTAAAACATCACAGATCCTCCACCAGCGAGGATGAGGTTATTTTCTGTATAACCATCCTTCATTTACGCAGCGATGAGTCGTGACTATTAGAGCTAGGCCTTTAAATTGGGCCATAAACGTCAAAACTCCATCAATACACAAGCAAAAATCTCACCTCTGCAACAATGCTAACGTTGGTGGTGTCCATAA